GGGGAGGGGCAAGATGGGGGTGAAAATTTGGAACTCAAAATCTTGTGGAAGTAAATGTTGAAAACTAAAAAGAAAGAAAGAAAGAAGGACAAATAGAGAAAGACAAATTAAAAAAAGTAAAAGAAATAGACTATCCCCCCTCCAAAAAAAAGCTTATGGAAGTGATTGTTGATAAATCAAAATAAATCAATTTTTAAAAAAAGCATGGGAGCAAGCACACAGCCCTGCTTTCCTCCATTGGTGACTGAGAACGCACAAGAGCACTGTTCATCATCCAGAACCCTGGCAAACATGCTATCATGAAATTGATGTACAATACTAAAGAACTTCTCCAGTCAACCAATTTTGCCATGATCTTCTACAAGCCCTCACAACTGACACTATCAAATGCTTTGGTCAGATCAACAAATGTTGTACACAGACCTCCGTTCTGCAACTGGCATTTCTCCTGAAGTTGTTAGGCAGCAGCAAACACCATATCAACGATTCCTCAGGCTTTTCTGAAGCCACACTGGCTCTTGGGTAGATAACCATCTTCCAGGTGAAGGATCATCTTAATAAGGAGGACTCTGGCAAGAGCCTTGCCTGCGATGCCTAAGAGAGACTCCCCTGTGATTGTCACAGAACAACCTATTTCCTTTACCTTTGTAGAGATGGACAATGGAGTTATCCTTGAATTCCTTTCCCCTAATCTGCCCTCCCTTCTATCTCCCCCCCTTCTCTTTTCCCCTTCCTCTTCTATTTTCCTGTAGGACAGGACAGATTTCTTTCTTTTTTTTTTTAATAGGTTGTACACGTGTAGCTATGCAAAACACTTCCATAATAGTCACGTTGTGAAAAACTAACTATATTTCCCTTAATCCTATCCTGTCCCCCTGTTTATTCTATTCTCTTTCGACCCTGTCCCTCCTCAGAAGTGTTTGCTTCTGATTACTCCCTTTCCCAATCTGCCCTCCTCTCTATCATTCCCTTGTTCTCTTGTCCCCTTCTCCCCTATTTTCCTGTAGGGTAAGATAGCTTTCCATACTCAATTGAGGTGTGTATGTTATTCCCTCCTTAAGCCAAATCCTATGAGAATAAGTAAGATTCACTCATTCCCTCTCGCCTTCCCCCACTTCCCCTCCACTGTAAAAGCCTTTTTCTTGCCTCTTTTATGTGAGATAATTTACCCCATTCTACCTCTCCCTTTCTCCTTCTCCCAGTATAATCCTCTCTCACCACTTAATTTTATTCTCCAGATATCACCCATTCATCTTCAACTCACCCTGTGCCCTCTATCTATCTATATACATACATATAATTTTTTCCCCTCTAACTACCCTAATACTGGCAAAGGTGTCATGAGTTACAAATATCATCTTTCCATGCAGAAATGTAAACAGTTCAACCTTAATAAAGTCTCTTATGATTTCTCTTTCCTGTTTACCTCTTCATGTTTCACTTGAGTCTTGTATTTGAAAGTCAGATTTTCTATTCGGCTCTGGTCTTTTCATCAAGAATGCTTAAAAGTCCTCTGTTTCACTGAATATCCATTTTTCCCCCTGAAGGATTATACTCAGTTTTGCTGGGTAAGTGATTCTTGGTTGTAATCCTAGCTCCTTTGCCCTCCAGAATGTCATATTCCATGCCCTCTGGTCCCTTAATGTAGAAGCTGCTAAATCCTGTGTTATCCTGATTGTGTTTCCACAATACTTGAATTGTTTCTTTCTGGCTGTTTGCAATATTTTCTTCTTGACCTGGGAACTCTGGAATTTGGCTACAATATTCCTAGGAGTTTTCCTTTGGGGATCTCTTTCAGGAGGAGATTGGTGTATTCTTTCAATTTCTATTTTGCCCTCTGGTTCTAAAGTATCAGGGCAGTTTTCCTTGAAAATTTCTTGAAAGATGATGTCTAGGCTCTTTTTTTGATCATGGTTTTCAGATAGTCCAGTAATTTTAAAATTATCTCTCCTGGATCTATTTTCCAGGTCAGTTGTTTTTCCAATGAGGTATTTCACATTGTTTTCTATTTTTTTCATTCTTTTGGCTTTGTTTTACAGTATCTTGATTTCTCATGAAGTCACTAGCTTCCAATTGCTCTATCCTAATTTTTAAGGAAGTATTTTCTTCAGTAATCTTTTGGACTTCCTTTTACATTTGGCCAATTTTTCTTTTTAAGGCCTTCTTCTTCTCATTGGCTTTTTGGACTTCTTTTGCCATTTGGGTTAGGCTATTTTTTAAGGTGCTATTTTATTCAGTATTTTTTGGGTCTCTTTTAGCAAGCTGTTGATTTGTTTTTCATGATTTTCTTGCATCACTCTCATTTCTCAGTTTTTCCTCTACTTTTCTTATTTGTTTCTCAAACTCCTTTTTGAGCTCTTCCATGGCCTGGGACTGATTCATATTTTTTTTTTTTTGGAGGCTTTGGATGTAGGAGCTTTGACTTTGTTGTCTTCTTCTGGTTGTATGTTTTGATCTTCTCTGTTACCAAAAAAAGATTCTATGGTCTGACACTTCTTGCAAGGTTTGCTCATGATCCCAGCCAATTTCTTGAGTTTTAAACTCTTTGTTAAGGTAGGAGTCTGCTTCCAATGTGGAGAATGTACTGTCCCAAGCTTCAGGGGTTTTGTGCAGCTGTTTTCAGAGATACTTCTAAGGACCTGTAAGTTTTCAGTTCTTCCAAGGTGGTATGATCAAGGGCGAGGTGTTTACTCCTTTTCTGGCCTGTGTTCTGGTCTATGAGTGACCACAAGGAGTCTTTTCTGTCTTGGAACTGTGAGGAGGATTTTCTCTTCACCACCACTACAAGCTCCACTACACCAGTACTCTCCTCTCCCAGACCGCAACCCAGAACTGTGACCCAGATCCAAGCAAGGGCAAAGCAAGAGATTCCTGCCTCAGCACTGGCAAAGAGATCTTTGCAATCCCCCTCTGATCAGCCAACTGATTCTCCCTCAGTCTGTGGGCCAGAAGCTCGGGAGGAAGCTACAACCCCAGGCCACACTCAGGGACTGAGGCTGGGACCAAGCCTCTCTCTCTCACCGCAGTCACAGACTTTTCCCACTGACCTTCTAAGTTGTCTTTGGCGGTTGTGAGTTGAGAGGTCTGGAAGCCACCACAGCTGCCTAAGATTCAGTCCTCTGAGACCTGCTCCAGGTTCACTGACGCCTGGTCTTTGCCTGCGTGCCCACACCAGACTGTGTTCTTCTTCCTGCCCCGCGCAATATACTTTTCCAATCCACCATCCAGGTTTTCTTGGGCTAGAAATTTGTTTCTGTCTTTTTGTGGGTTCTGCTGCTTTAGAATTTGTTCAGAGCCATTTTTTACAGGTACTTGGAGGGGTTTGGGGGAGAGTTCAGGCAAGTCACTGCTTTTACCCCTCACACCACTAGTCTTCCTGAATACCTGTACATCCCTTTTTTGTTCACAGAGGTAGTAAATGACGGACCCAGAATTTGAACCCAGGTCCTGGGTACTGGGACAGTAAGCAAAGAAGATATATGGAGCTAAGTAGAGGCCAAAAGTATCAGCAACATCCACTGGGGAAAACAAACAAGTAAAAAAGCACAAAAAGAACTTTGCCCTGCAGAGGTTTTGTGAGCCCTTTTTAACTTCATGACAATCTAAGGAAATGGAACCTTCACAAAGTGATTCCATTGAAAATAAAACCTTTCTCCATGATACTTCCGTGTGTTTAGTCCCCACTGAAAGAGAATGTATTCAGAGATGGGTGAGGGTCTGTGAGTATTCCTGGGTACACATCTGTGTTTTGCACATGTCTTTGACAGGGCTGATGAAGCTTCCTAGTTTAAAGTTCTTAGCTGGCTAATAAATCTTTGAAAAATGGGATTCTGGGACCATCACTTATTTGTCCTGTTTTCTCTGGCCTCCCATATCTAATAGCTTGTTGGACACAACAATCCGTTTTCCCCTTGGGTGACGAAGGAAGATCAGGCTTCAGGAGTAGCGTAAATCAGTAAGGCACAAGGAACCTGTGCCTTGTTCTAGTTCCAAATTGCTCCCAGGATGGGGGCTCTAGGTAAAATGTCAATAGAGGCTTAGGGGAGCAAAAAAAAGAACAAGGGAAAAACACTTCATTTGGGTGGTGTACATCAGTGAGAACATAGTTTAGCTCAAAACAAAGCCACCTACCTATTTTTACTTTTGGAGTGATCTTTATGACATAGGGATTCTTAATCTTAGTTGTGTCGTGGACATTGTAACACTGTAGCAGCCTTGGAAACCTATCCCCTTTCTTGGAATAATATTTTTAAATGCGTAAAATTCAACACACAGGAATACAAAGGAAACCAATTACATTGAAATCATTATAAAAATATTTTTAAAAGTAGAAGTTCACAGAGCCCAGGTTAAGAAATTTTGCTTTTCCCGGATTGCCATAACAAACTATGATAATATCTAAGATTAGCAGTCTATCTAGCTTAGAAATCTGCCTTTGGCAATTGTAGAAGGCATTTTGGTGAAAGCCCATCATAGGACTCAAGAACAAACTTCCATTAATATCTCAGTATAGATTTCACCTTTTAAACCTAACCTATTTTCATATATTTTCAGTCTTACTACTCCTTGAGATGAATGAATTACATAAATTTAATATAATACTTTTATGTATCCTAAAACTACCTCCTTCAAGCTTCTTGAAATATCCCTTTTTTTATGGGAGGAGAGGTGGGTGAACTTGACTTTATGATCTTCAACCATGATGTCCCCCTTCCCCTCACCTTTACCACTTGTGACCAAAAAGGCAAGCTCTGCCATGCTTTTCCTTTTATCTACCTATCCACAATTGCAACCAATTCCTTCTTATATTCTCTTGCTGCGTAAGAACAGGTTCTAACCTTTCCATTTCACATGGTATATGTAGCACTCAGATTGTGTAAATTGTTTCCATGGTTAGTACCTCCCCCTTAGGTTAGTACCTGACCCCTGACCAATTCTTCCGCCATAAAGAGATCCCTTTGAGGGGATGCAGAAGGAGCCAGGAATCACAGAGTCCTCACCTCTGGAAGAGTTCTCTGCAGCACACGTAGATTTCATAGCTAGGACTGGTGAAATTTGTTGTGTCCAGGAAAGACGCACAGTTGGCCTCAGCCCCCCTGGGAACATAGAGGATTCCTAGATGGAGATAAAAATATCAGACATGAAGCAGGCCCTAAACACAATCCTGAGGTTTCTCTGTCCTTTGGAGTGTGAACTCAGAAACCTTGGATTTTTCTTTATCCTACAGGATTGGGTTACCTTCTCTCTATCCAGATGCTTGGATAATTAGATAGAATCAATCACTATTCTGGACATGTCCTGCTCCAAACCAAAAAGGAGCCATAAGGAAAGTTGACAGAGGCACCTACCTGCCACACAGGCATTGACCAGGGATACACAGGCCCCTGTCAAGAGGGCCCTTGTTACCAGCTTGGCAAAGTCACTCTTCCGTTTGGGTGCCATCGAAGCTGCAGGTAACGAGAGAGGAAAGAACTTAGTATTCCAGAAAATCAAGCTTACTGTGAGCCCCCACTGACAATAATACAGAAGAATAAAACATATGCATCAAAACCATCTTTACCCCCTGCCACCCTCACCATTAAAAGGCCAGATACAAAAGTGGCCCAGGGTGGTTCCATGAGTTGCTATGTATCTGCTCTAAGTGATTACTGGTCTGGAGACCTCCAGGAATGCGAGATGTATCCAGTGCAAAAGTTTTCAGGCAAGATTGGCTGGCCTAGTTAATTCCAGGGCCAGCCTATACCAAGACCAAGTCTTAGCAATGGTACCTTAATTGTTCCAACATACCAAGGGTCCTATGGATCAAATATGATTTGGGGTTGCTCCAGATTGGAGCAAATACCCTGGACCTTTCCCAGTCAGAATTTCCAAGGCTTGGCCAGAGTCAGATTAACCTCTGGAGAGAGAGGAAGAAGGCCCCATTCATTCAGTCTGGCCATAATGTATTTGTCTTCCTCTCACAGGCTTTCTCACATTCAATCAATAACGAGCTTTCAGAATTAGTGCAATGCAGAGGAGTACTGAGCAGGAGGGGGGTGGGGAGAAGATGCATTGAAAAGAAATGATGCAATCTCTAATGAACACAACTCAATGAGCAGCCAAATCAATAAAGCTAATGATTTTGTCCCTGAAAATAAATGAGGTAAAAATGGATAGGCAGTTTTCCTTCTATGTGCCTCTGACACAGATTCTCTGTAAATTTGTGCTCAGATAGGGGTAGCCAAGGCTGAAATCTAAATACAGAAAGCACTTCAGCTGTCAGATGACAAATAAAGCATGCAAATTTGCATGCAATTAGCATTTTACTCATTAAGTGTCAAAGATATAAATGTCACTATAATACTTTTCATCATAAATCAGAATTCATTATCAGGCGGATCTGTCTTAGACCTAATCTAGCTAAAGGAAAATGGTTACTCAAGAATAGGGGAAGGGCGAATTGGGGAGGGGTGGTGAATCTCTTCTAATTTAAAAGCATCTCATCCACCACATGATGGTGAATCTAGGCTAAAGAGTCAAACTCAAATAGAAATGGGGGCTATTAATCCTTATACAAGGGTTTCTGCAAGCAGCATATTGACTTAATTTTTAAAACATAGTATCATCTACATTTTATGGCATTTTATTTATTTTGTTAAATATTTCCCAGTTACATTTTAATCTGGTTTAGGCTGTATGTGACTTGTGACTCCATGTTGGACATCTCTGAGGATAAACATTAATCTCCCCAGCCCATTTTTCTCTCCACTTAATTAACTGCTGCCCTGGTATTTCCAGTTGGGTGGGTCTATCCTAGCAACAATTTCTCTGCCTAGGTGCACCTCACTTTGTGGTATCAGGGCTGCAAATTACAAGGCTTTCAGTGTCTTGCTGAAGCCTTGGTTATAGCTTTCAAGAGACACAAGGATTTCCTGTAACTCACTTAAGCCTCCTAATGTGATTCCCATCGAACTGAGATTAGCAAATCCACACAGTGAAAAAGTTGTGATGATTTCTGCTCTCACCTGGAAGAAAAAAAACTTTAGACACATGTATACACACACACACACATACATATATACGTATATACGTGTATGTGTGTGTGTGTGTGTGTGTGTGTGTGTATACATGTATAATTTTTGTGTGTATACCAACACAGATGCAGGCCATCTAGCTGTGTATGAATATATGTATGTACATATATATTGTATGTATATATGGTATATATAAGCTGCCTCTATACATATATACATACACATATGTGTGTGTTTATGGACTAGTGGATAGAGTATTAGGCCTAGAGTCAGGTAGACTTGAGTTCACATCCAGTCTTAGACACTTATTAGTTGTGTGACCCTGGGCAAGTCACTTAACCTTCGCTTGCCTTAGTTTCCTCATTTGTAAAATGAGGGTATTAACAGTACCTAACTTGTCATGAGAATCAAATGAGATAGTATTTGTAAAGCACAGTACCTGCCACATAGTAGGTGCTACATAAATGTTAACAATACATATATACATAGATACACTTACTAAAGACGTTTTGAGAGAGAGAGAGAGATCATCAAATTACAAATCAAGGAAACTCAAAGAGTTAATTTAAGACTCTAAGTGAAGAATGAGTGAGACGATCAGAACATCAGAAAACTATCCCTCTGAACAGTCAACCACTCTATCAAGATCCAGTGTTAGACTGGAGAGAAAAAATGATAAAATACCAAGGAGAAACAACTCAGACCTCAAGGAAGTTCAAGGGCCTAAGACAGAAGGCTGCTACTGGATTTGCCTTGCTGGGCTCATCCTAGGAACCTGGAAGTGGGACCTGGAACCTGCTCCAGCATTTTCCATGGCAGTTTCCTTCTGCACATGAGTAGCCATGGCTGAGACCCTATAGTGTTCCATATTTCTCTGTATGTACCACTTACAGAAATCCACTGTTTCTCACCCCCGACCCACTCCTCAATCCCAGAGAGACGCTTGTTCTTGTACTGAGACAACTGTTCATAGGCCACAAACTCATTCAGGAAGAACTTGATCCCCAGCATCTCAGCAACCATTGGACAGTCTGCCCAGTCCACACCCATCATGAAAACAATGGGCCGTAGGACGTAGGAACAGATAACCTGAGACAGAGAGAGAGAAAGAGAGAGAGGGAGAGAGAGAGAATGAGAATTTGAGTCTCTCCAGGCAAGGCCAGGTAAGCACATCTATCCCAGGGGCAACTAGGCGGCACAGTGCATAGAGCACTGGCCCTCGAGTCAGGAGGACCTGAGTCAAAATCTGACCTCAGACACTTACTAGCTGTGTGACCCTGGGTGAGTCACTTAACCCCAGTTGCCTCCAAAAGAAAGAAAGAACATCTATCCCTTGTAGCCAGGGCTTAGTCTCTCCCGTCCTTCCAGTTTTCTCTTTATTTTATATAGGATCAAGGGAACAGGCACAGTACTGGTACCAACCTGACCCCATCCCAGGGAAATGGACTGTGATGGGCCAAAGTGACATACGTTACCTGGAAGCTGAGTCCCTCTATGTTCACCATCTCCCCCAGCCAGGAAAGGATAGCGTTGATAAAGGCTAACACGGCCAAGAAGGCAATGAGGTTGGCAGCAATGTTAGCAATGAGTCCTACAGAGTCTGCAGCACCACTGCTGGCGGCTTCTAGAATGTTCTTCTGATCTCTGCGATTGTCATCAAAGAGAACAGGTAAAAAGGAACGAGGGGCTGTAGTCGTCCCAGTGTTGGCAACCCTCTGTGTGTGTGTGTGTGTGTGTGTGTGTGTTGGGGGAAGGGTCCCACTCAGAGGAGCCAGCTTGGAATTTTTCTTGTGACTCCACATCCTTTACCCTGCTAAGGATAAGAGTGTCCTCTGTTCTTGCAATGGGAAAGGGATAGAGAGCTAGCTCCATGGGGGGTGGGGCACTTAGAACCCTCCTTGGCGAAACTGACTCTGAACCAGTATCAAAAATAAGCGTTACCAAACCAATCAATCAATCAACAAATATCTATTAAGCACCTGCTCTGTGATGCTAAGCTACAGAGACAACAGGCCAGAGGATGTGCCATCGTTAGGAAAGGAAACTGGGATGAGGAAGGAGAGTGTAGACTCTTCTCACCACGGCACAGCAGCTAGATGAGACATGGAACCTGATTCTACTGCTCTCTCCTGCCTCTGTATGTGGCCCTTAGCCCACACTCTCCCAAGTAATGTGGTCCACTGGACTCACCCACGGGGCAGTTTTACTCCTTCCTTGTTTTGGAACTTGGATTCTTCCACTTCTGGGTAAACCAGCTTGGACAGAGCAAGAGCGCAAGGAGCAGCCATCACAGAAGCAGACACCAAGGATGCGGGATCAATCTGAAAGGTCAGATCTCAAGGTCAGTGTGTGGTCAGAACCCGAGACAGCTTGCCAACTGGTGCCAAGGATTGCCCTGAGTGCCAGGGTATTCTGTTATCTACAAATAAACTGAAAACAACCAAGAAACATGGCAAAGGGAACCTAGCATGATAACAACAACAACGACAAAAATAATAATCGTAGCTCACATTTACAAAGCTCTTTAAGGTTTGGAGAAGCACTTGCCTCCCAACAGCCTTATGAGGTAGGCATTGAAAGTATTATTATCCCCATTGACCTAGAAATACAAATAATGATATATTGAGAGGGTAGTATTTGGGATGACAAGAGGACAATCTCTTGTCCATGATTATGTGTTTATTGGGTTGTTATACTCAGGAGAGAACCAAAATTCTCCTGGCACATCAAGACCCAAGTCTTGGTTCCTTGTTCTATACTATGTGTTCATTCCTGACTTCCTGGTAGCTGATCACTCTCATACAGGAATGTCTTAGGACTTTGAAGCTCCTTAGCTGAAGCTCCCCAGGTCCCAGGCTTACACCATAAATGGAAAGAGCACAGGGAGCCCAAAACCAGAAAAGCTTCTTGAAGACTTTCTCTGGGGAATGGCTATCGCCTCTGTGAAAGACAGCATGACACTCTGTTTTACATAGGGGCTAAGAGGTCAATGCCTACCCCAAAACTGATGTAGGCTCCCAACACAGTCCCTGAAATGGTAGCAAAACCTCCAGTCATAACAGCATGGACTTCTGAAGAGGTCATGTCTGGTAGGTATGGCCGAATCAGCAGAGGTGCTTCTGTCTGGAAAGAAGAAAAAGTCAGTTGGGCTTGTAGACATGAGTGGCTCTAAATATCATCACCCTCATTACTGTGCCCAAGACACAGCCTAAAAATCAGGAGTATATTCGCCCTTTATAAAGCATTTTCCTCCCAGCAACCCCAGGAAGGTATTTCAAGCATTATTATCCCCACTGACCTAGAAATAGAAACAATGGTATATTAAGAGGGCAGTATTTGGGAAAGGAGGACAATCTCTTGTTTATAGGTTTATTACTCATTGGGTTCTTGCTCATTGGTTTATTACACTGAGAAGAGAAACAACACAGGAGGGTGATGGAATATGGAGACATATGCAGATCTAGGAATCACTTTACCCTTCTCTGAGTAATCTAGCTTTCTGTGTCTGTCTCACTCATTGTGGCCTTTAATCAGCATGGTATAGTGAAAACAGCAGTGGATTTTGACTAAGAGTTTGGACCTTGGTTCAAATGCCACCTTTGCCATTTACTGTCTGTGTCACCTTGGGCAAGGCATTTAACTTCCTCAGATTTCAGTGTCTCCATCTGTAAAATGAGGGGGTTGCATCAGATAGCCCCTAAGGTCCTTTTCACCTCTAAATCTATGATTCTATGAACCTATGATCTAATGCTGCCTTAGATTGTTAGGGGACCCTCAGAGCCCTCCTCAGTGAAACTGACTCCAAACCAGTATCAGAAGTGAGTGCTACAGGATCAGTCAATCAACAAACATTTATTTCTATACTGCTAAGTTATAAGCTCCTAGATGAAGAGACTATTTTTCATATTTCTTTTGTGCTTTCTGAGCATACCACATCTAAGTACACACTAGGCATTTAATAAATGTTCATTGGATGTTGAATAAATGAATGAAGTATAGAACCTACAGTCAAAGTCTATCTTGTTATTAACTCTGTCATTTGATGAGACACTACTCCTATTATCCAGTTATTCAATCAGAAATATATATTGAACACCAACTGTATACTGACATTTTTTAGGAGTTTGGGGAAGAAAATACAGTTCCTGTGAATGAATGTGAATGAAGTGCATAGTAGATCATCATTAAATCCTTGTGAAAGAAAAAGAAGGAGGAACAGAAGAAGAGAAGACTTAGTCATGAAGGATTAGAAAGTTTGGATAAATATAAATGTTTGTAAATAAATAAACATGAAAAAACCTCTGAAAATCCACATTCTGCTTTTTTTGTACTTGAGACAACTGGCCTTAGGAAACTAAAATTAAACAGATATATTCATGGATATAGGGACATGGAGACTGACAGAAAAATATGATAGAGGTCACAAGGAAGTCTATGTCATCAACATCTCTCTTAAAAATAGCAATAGAAACACAAGAAAAAGAAAACAACCAGTATCTTCAAAATAAAATGTAAAAATCCACTAAAAATTGATGAACCAAAGAAAAGTTCTAACACAATGACAAAATATAGGGTGTCCTATAAGTTAAGTCTCTTAAAATTAAGGCAGGCTTAAAACTTCTCTAAGACTTTTGGGACATCTTATATTATAAATTAAAAGAAATAAGCAAAAAGACCAAAAGAAAAAAGACATTGAAATAACATTGACAGGACTATCAGAAGCAAAGCTAGAATTTTCTCAAGATACAATAAGTGGTTAAAAGACACACTGAAGGAATTAGAGAAGAAATAGAATTAGTAAAAGAAAAATATGAAAAGAAATAAATATAGAACTATATGTAGCCAAGGAATGTCAGGGCAAGACTCAATAGTTTAAAGTATGCCTGGAGAATATGTACATGAAAATGAAATTGATGAAAAATTGCATTATTTTTACTAAAAGACAGGCTAACAGAAGGAACAGAAAATAGAAAAAGCAAACCGTGAAAATCTCTAAGCTGGAAAAAAGATTCGGAAGCACTGCTGGTGAAAGTGATGAATCTGGAAAATGGATCAAGTAGAGAAAATTTAAGAATCAATGAATTCCCTGAAAAATGTGAAGAGGAAATTAATCTAACCACTATGTTTGAGGAAATTATACAAGAAAATGTTCCAGAAATGTAGAAATCAAGGTCAAGATTGAAAATTAATAAAATTCATAGGATGTTAGTAAGGAAAAACTCCAAATTAAATTCACTCTGGCATATCATTGTTAAGCTTTAAAACTACTACAATAAAGGGATAATCCTACAAACAATCAAGAAAAATGTCATCACATATCAAAAAATACCATTTTAAATTTCACAAGATTTTTCTATAAAAATAAGACATAATAGAAGAAACTAACCTGTACTATGTAGAAATTTATAAAGCATTGGAATTCATGCTAAAATCAATTTCCCAGAAAAGCTAAGCATTCTTTTTAAAAATCAAAAGATGTACATATAAAAATCAAGGCCTATTTTGAGCAATTCATTGAGGAAAGGTCCAACCTCAAAGAATTCTTGACTTGAAGCTAAAAAAAAAAGCATCCAAATCTTGAAATGAATTTCATATCAAAGGGCAGAACTTCTGTAATAAACAGATCATCAAACCAAATGGTTTTATCTGTTATAAAGGATTAAATGCTATCTTAGGACACCCATCATAAAAAGATTAAAAAACAGATATTTAAAAAGCAGGAAGTATTTTAGAGGCTTGCTTCCCGGTAATATAAGGCCAAAGCTCACCTATTAGAGCCAGGAAACCCAAGGGCAAAATCCAAGGTTGTTATGGGAGGAGATGAGAACAATAGTCACAGTTTAGGCAGCATGGCAGGAAAGTTGTAAGGATATATCAGTATAACAGAACATATTGATGAGAAAAGACAACAAAATAATATTACTTTATAATAGTGATGGAGAAATTTTATAATTCTATTATATAAGATGCAGAAAATGTCTTTAATTTTAAAACAGCATCCATTTATATTAAAAATTCTTAAAAGCATGGAAATAGAGTGATTTTTTTCCTTAGCATGATTAAAAAATATTTATTTGAAATCAAGAATTACTTTATAGGCATTTTCCATTAAGAGCAGATCTGTCCATTCTCAGCATTTCTACTTGCAATAGCTACTCATACTTGGAAGGTTAGACTGACTTCTTAGAGTTAAACTAAAAAGGAGAACGATATCTCATTGGAAGTAGTAGTCGTAGTCGTAGTCGTAGTCGTAGTCGTAGTCGTAGTCGTAGTCGTAGTAGTAGTAGTAGTAGTAGTAGTAATAATAGCATTGATATACTGCTTCAAGGTATATAAATACCTTATTGCAAAGCATTTTACAAACACTCTCTCATTTGATTCTCACAACAACCTGGGAGGTAGATGCTTATTATCCTCATAATACAGATGAATAAACTAAGGCAAAGAGGAATTAAGTGACTTGCCCAGGGTCACACAGCTAGAAGGTTTAGAAGTCTTCTTGATTTCAGGTCCAGTGCTCTATCTACTGTCCCACTTAGCCAGTCAGTAAGAATGAATTAGTCAAGACTAGTGAGGAGACATCTACTTTTCTGTAGGTGTTGGGACTAGGAGCAATCTTCTACTTGAAAAACCAAGATTACTCACTCAGATTGGAGCTATGCCAAAGCCAAGATAAAATATTGATTGATCAGATGATTTCCGCTACTTTCTTCAAAGCCCAAAAGAGCTAGGCACAGAGTACCCTTCTGCTCAGGGGAGAATAAGACAGATAAGACTTCTTACAAAACCAGTCAGGAAGATAGTAGCACCCAGAGCCAAGGGAATCCTTTAAGACTGAGCCTCCATGGTCACTTCACCATCTACTTTTTGAATCGGTGATGGCCTATCTGAATGAGGCTTGAACCCTTGTAAATTCTTACACCTGTGCTATAGGAAAATGGAATAAGAGTGTGTAGCTATCATTAACTTTTTACTAAGAATCTTCAAAGGTACTCATACTAGAAAAACTACAGGAAGGAAGCCTGAGCCCTATCAGGTACACTCAATCCTCAACATTCACAGTCTAACTTTTGCTGCTTCCAGCATGAGGGTGATTTTATTAATAACCTCATTTTTACTTTTCAATTGGTAACCTTGTATATTTGCGGGGCTATGATCAGTAGATAAAATGAGAGGCAAGATGGGTAACTTTTTGGAGCCACTGATACCCTGCTTGGTGCTCCATTCATTTTGTTCATCCTACCATTGTAAAGAGCTCCCCTGCATTTGTTGCATATTTTCATTGTTTGCCTTTAAAACTCAAGTTTTATGTTGAAATTATGCCCTTAAAGGGTAGTGCGAGTCCTTTGGTTCTAAGCCCAAACATGCAAAGTCAGTGATTCGACTTAGTGAGAAAATAAAGTTGTGAGATAAACTTCATGACAGAATGTTGGTAGCCACTGTCCACCATGAATTTGGAGTTAATGAATCAATGATTCCTTATATGAACAAAAAGGAGGAAAGTATTCATAAATGTTTGTGAATCCCTTCCAGAAAGTGCTAAAATAAACAATCAAATGCGTGATGAGGGAATTGAAAAAATGGAAAAGGGGCTAAGTTTGTGGGTAAATGAAATGGTAGAAGAATGAAAAAGTTTGGCCAATATGGCAACCACCCACTTGAAGGTCCAACAAATTTATAAGCATGTTACAATGGGCCAAGAAAATGTGAAGCCTTTTGTAAGCTAGCGAGGGTGGATGTATTGTTCAAGTTATGATATGGTTTAAAAAAATGGGAAACTTTCTGGTGAAGCTGGTTCTGCTGATGCTATGGCTGCTGCTGAGTTTCAGAACATGTTGAACATGCTGATTGGGAAAAAGAGGAAGTGTTTAATGCTGATGACATTGGTCTGTTTATGAAACTGGTAGGAAAACGCACACATGTAACAAAAGTCATCGCCAAAGCCCCCAGGTTCAAGGTTTTGAAGGATCGTTTGATCCTATGGTGTGCACCAATGCCAGCAGTAACTTCAAGTATGAGCCACTGATGATCTACTGAGTCCCAAATACCCAGGTTCTGAAAGGAAAAAAACAAGGCCAGAATGCCAGTGCATTGGCACTGGAATAGAAAGTATGGATGATTGCAGAGACCTTCTGGGACTGATTCAACAACTGCTTCATTCTAGAAGTAGAATGATATCTGTGGAGAAAGAACCTTGCATCCAAGATTTTTTTTTTTAGGCAATTGGGGTTAAGTGACTTGCCCAGGGTCACACAGCTAGTAAGTGTCAAGTGTTTGGTCTGAGGCCGGATTTGAACTCAGGTCCTCCTGAATTCGGGCCAGTGCTCTATTCACTGTGCCATCTAGCTGCCCTGCACTGCGCCACCTAGCTGCCCCTCAAGATTCTTTTAATACTAGATAACACACCAGTTCATATTTCTGAGTAGCTGGAAAATGCCCACAAAAATGTAGAAGTTGCTTTTATGCCACCCAACACCACATCTTTGTTCCAGCCTATGGATCAGAGAACCCTAAGAGCCTTCTAGTTCCATTATACCAGGGAAAACTACTGCCATGCCTGCAACTACTTGTAAACAAACCCTGAAAACACCATGATGGATTTCTGGAAATCTGTCACTGTGCTTCAAGTCATAGACTGTATGACTGTAGCCTGAGAAAATATTTCACAGGCTACCTTGAACAGCTGCTGGAAAAACATATGGCCTGCTTATACCAGGGTCTCGAAAGGTTTAAAGATGTTGATGAAGCAGTAAGGTCGAATGTTGAAGCAGTCATGTGTCTAGTGCATACCTCTGGAGGCAAAGGGTTCAAGGATATGGGGAGAAGATGTCTCTGACATCTTGCAGGAGAAATCCCAGGAGCTGATGAATGAGGAGTAGATGAGATGACTCAGGAAGGTTTTCTTTCCGGAGTGCAAAGATGATGATGATGAATGAGCTTCCAAGATTATGTCATTCACAGTTTCCAGGCTTAAATGATTGGTTGGCATAATTGACCAGCTGACTAGAGACATCAAGACTGCCAATCTCAACATTGATTGCAGCTTCAGGGTTAAACATGAACTCAGCTCTGCAATGCTCCCATACTCTGTAATCCTTAAGGATCTCAAAGAACCCATGACGCAGATATAGCTGATGGATTATTTCAACTTGGTGAGTCCTTCACGATCTCCAACGCCATCCACCAGTCACAAAAGACGAGGTGTCAGAGGTGATGTCGAGACCTCTGTGTCTTCTGACAGCAGTGACGAAAGTCCCATCAACTTCTCCCTTGGTTTTCAGAGGCTGACAGTATAGTATACAGTACAATGCCCTCATATTATCATCTGACACAGCGGAAGGTCAGATTCAAGTTAAAAAATGTTTTAGTTTTAAGAATTTTATTTGCTGTACAGTATTTATCGTATCGTAGATTTCATTCATCATAAAAAATGAGTATTGTCTGAAATCAATTCTTTATTGAGATATTAGCATGAAAGGTTATAGAATTCTAGGGAATTACAAGAAAAAAATGTTTGCATGTTTTTTGTTGGATTTTTTTTGTTGATCACCTCTTTGTGACCCTTTTTGGGGTTTTCTTGGCAAAAATACTAGAGTAGTTTGCCATTTCCTTCTCTAGCTCATTTTACAGATAAGGAAACTGAGGCAAAGAGAGTTAAGTGAGTTGTCCGGGGTCTCACAGTTTGTAAGTGTCTGCCGTCAGATTTGAACTCAGGTCCTTCTGACTCTAGGCCCAACACTATATCCACTGCACCACTTAGCTGCCCCTGTTTTGCGTGTTACCAATTTTATTTTGTACACTGCATTTTATGGGTTATTTCACGGTTACTATGTTAGGAAATATACATACTATCAGAAATAACACTTGATTACAAAGAATTGTATGCAGAAAAGTATATTTTCAGCAATCTCTAGCAGAAGATTATAGTTTTGGGTGGTCACAGAAACCTCACCCCTTATTTATCATAGGTTCAATGTGCCATCATTCATGTTTTTAACTTTCACACCATTTTCTAGGGATGTTGCCCCCGTGAAAGTTGAGTATTGACTGTATTACTGGCAGACCAATATGGGAGCCAACCTTTTCTCTCTTCCCATTACCCACCCCTCTGCACCTGTGGTTAAAGATACAGAAATGATACCTGAGCCAGGAGGTGCTTTGAGATTCCTGGGATAAAAAGGAGCTCTGTCAGTGGCCAAGGGAGTATCTGTCTCCCTAAGAAAGTGAAGAATCTGGCTGAAGAACAGCAAACTGAACTGTAAGGAGACCAAGAGGTTGTATGTTGCTTACCATACCCACAAAGATGTTCCCTGCCACACTCAAGGTCTCCGTGGCTGTGGTGCCCAGGGTAATTTGCAAAATCCAGGCAATCTAGGGGGAAAAAAAGAAACATAAATCATAGTCATATCCCCTTATTTCACAGATGAGTAAATCAGGGCCCACAAGGTCAAAGGTTGTTATGAGAATCAAAAAAGATAACACATGTAAATCACTTTGAAAACTTTTAAGTGCTATATAATTGGTTTTTTGTTTGTTTGTTCGTTTGTTTGTCTTAGGCAATTGGGGTTAAGTGATTTGCCTAGGGTCACACAGCTAGTGAATGTCAAGTGTTTGGTCTGAGGTCACATTTGAACTCAGGTCTTCCTGACTTCAGGGCCAGTGGTCTATCCACTGCGCCACCTAGCTGCCCCAAGTATCATATAATTGTGAGCTATTATTGAGGGCATTTGTTGGGGAGGGAAAGAAAGATTTGTTTTATCAGATGAATCAACCACATTCTTTATTAGGAGTATCTGATGCTTTAAACAACAGAAAAAGCCAATTGAATATAATTCAGTTCTTCAAAAAAAAAGTTAATTAAATAGAGAAACCTAATTTACTCAATTTGGTGCCAATGCTACTTGGAAGGATACAACACTGAACTCTAGTTTAGCTATATTGTGCCCCAGACTTGGGTACTTTCAGAGCATTTCAGCCCTGAGACTCCACCTGTTTGGATTCCAAAGATCACAAAGCATGAGTTATCTCATGACCTGAGTGGGGGCAGGACCCACCTTCACAATTATCCACTGCACAAGTCCCAGGTAATAGAAGATAGACATCACACAACTGAAGAAGACGATGATTGGTAAGGACTAGAAGGAGAATGGCAAGAGGCATTTAAGAGAGATGTGGCATTGAGATCTCATTCGTACACCATTAAACAGATAACTCCCCTTAACCCACCTTACAATCCAGTCTAGTCTAACTAGACAAATTGTGGTTCCCACCCCTTGCAGAGCCTTTGAACAGGCTGACCCCATACCTGTAATGCACTCACCTCTATCTCAAAGCTTAGGTCGAGGGCCGCATTTTAAACGAAACCTTTACTGATTCCACCGAGTTATAAGTGCCTCTCTACTCCCACTACCATTAACTTGTTTTTATTTTGTTATTTATTTTTATATGCTTATAGATGTTCATTTTGTTTCCTCTGATAGAACGTAAGCTCCTTGAGGGCAGGCACTATTTTATTTTTGGTCTTTATATCTAAGCAGCTAGTACAGTGCTTGGAATATAGGTACAATATTTGATTGATAAATGTTTGCCGATTGATTGATTATATGATGACTGTATGTCATGCTACCTTAGCAGGCCAAAGCTCCCCGGGAGCACTAGGTCCAGTACGGTGCCCAGCACAATGCAAATTCTCAATAACTATTAAATACAAGCTAATTTAGGAGGAAACTGAAATGGTGAGAGTCTATCATCCCATAGAACCAAACTTACTTGAATCTTACTTCCCATGGAAAATGAATCTAATTTCTAAAGGTGATAGCCATCAAAGGAATGTTAAGTGTGCCATTTCCCCTTTTGTCTTTCCTTTTCCTCCTTCCCCACCCCTTCACCCCTCAGCCCAAAACTCATATGGGATGCAGGCTCTACCCCTGCTTGCTGCTTGACTTCATACAAGATTTAAATAAGATGCAAGTCAACAATTCCATTTCTTCCAGTGACATAGAAGATCTCCAGGCCTTGCCATCTGCCCTACCCTTGCCTCCCAAGGTCCCCCAGGCCTTACCCTATGCTCTGCCTCTGCCCCCTGTAGTCCCCTGGCACTGTCATCTGACCTAAACATGCCTGATGCCATCCACCCTGCAATAAACTTCTGCAGCTCAACTGTGTTTTATATTTATCTTCCCCAATCAGAGGGTGGACATTCTGGAGAGCAAGGACTATCTCATTTTCCTGTTGGTAACTTCAGCACTTTGCACATTGCTTGGCACAGAGTAAGAACTTAATCAATGAGGGCTTGAGATCCCTGAGATCCTTGTATCTATTGAAATCCAATTAAGATCATACTGCCAGATTGACCTACTCCTTTGCAAGTCCTTTTCACAGGACAGCCCATTAGTTCACTTTCATGACTATGAGGGCTTTTATGTGGCCATCGCTAAAGCCCATTGTTAAAAGTCATTATTGCACCACACACACACACACACACACACACACACACACACACACACTGACTCAGCTGCTATTCACCTACTCCCCATTTCCATCCACAAAGAGAGGTGTCACCTGAAAGGCAAAAACATCATTGATGAGAGCATCCCCAAAGACAAAACTGGAACCAGCCACTGTGTAATTGAGGAAAATCTAAAGAGAAAGAAAAACAAGGCAAAGATGAAGAAGAGCCATGGGGCAAAAGATCAGTTATACTCATCACTCAACTCTGCTTGGGGTCATAGGCCACCCAATTAGGAGGTCCTCTTGTGGTGACTCAAAGAAGGGCCCAGCTAAGGCCTGTGAAAATTCTGATACTCCCCCTTTTTGTGGTATGCACACACCATATAAACATGTCACTGTTGGACCTCCTTGTGATGGGGTCACATTTGAGACTGCTAAGAGTCCAGTATGTGAGAACTGCCTGTTCATATCCTTTGACCATTTATCAATTGGGAATGACTTGTTTTCTTAGAAATTTGACTTAATTCTCTATATATTTTAGAAATGAGGCTCTTATCAGAGATACTGGTTGTAAAAATTCTTTCCCAATTTTGTACTTTTCTTCTAATCTTGGTTGCATTGGATTTGTGCAAAAACTTTTCAATTTAATGTAATCAAAGTTATCCATTTTGCATTTTGTAATGTTCTCTATCTCCTGTTTGGTCATGAATTCTTCTGTTCTCCATAAATCTGATAGGTAAACTACTCCTTGCTCTCCCAGTTTGCTTACGGTATCAGCCTTTATTTCTAAATCATGAATCCATTTTGACTTTATTTTGGCATATGGTGTGAGATTTTGGTCTATGACTAGTTTCTGCCATACTCTTTTCCAGTTTTCCCAGCAGTTTTTGTCAAAGAGTGAGTTCTTATCCCAGAAGCTGGGGTCTTTGGGTTTATCAAATAGTAGATTACTATAGTCATTGACTACTGTGTCTTGCATACTTAATCTATTCCACTGATCCACCACTCTATTTCTTAGCCTGTACCAAGCAGTTTTGATGATTGATGCTTTATAACACAATTTAAGATCTGGAATGGTTAGGCCACCTTCCCCTGCATTTCTTTTTATTAGTTCCCTTGATATTCTGGACCTTTGTTATTCTAAATGAATCTTGTTATTATTTTTTCTAGCTCTATAAAATTATTTTTTGGTACTTTGATTGGTATGGCACTGAGTAAGTGAATTAGCTTAGGTAGAATTGTCATTTTTATTATATTAGCTTGGCCTACTCATGAGCAACTGATGTTTTTCCAATTATTTAGATCTGACTTTATTTGTGTGAAAAGTGTTTTGTAATTGTGTTCATAAAGTTCCTGGGTTTGTTTCAGTAGGTAGACTCCTACCTACTGAATATTTTCTACTATATTCCTACCTCCTAAATATTTTATAACATCTACAGTAACTTTAAATGGAATTTCTCTTTCTATCTCTTGCTATTGGACTTTGTTGGTAATATATAGAAATGCCAATGATGTATATGGGTTTATTTTACAGCCTGCAACTTTGCTAAAGTTGTTTATTATTTCAAGTAGTTTTTCACTTGATTCTCTAGGATTCTCTAAGTATATCATCATATCATCTGCAAAGAGTGATAGCTGTGTTTCTTCTTTGCCTATTCTAATACCTATTTTGCCTATTCCAAACCTTTGCCTATTCTAAAGCCATCTATAGTCATATGAAAAAATGCTCTAAATCATTGTTGATTAGAGAAATGCAAATTAAAACAACTCTGAGGTACCACCTCACATTTATCAGATTGGCCAACATGACAAAACAAGAAAATGATGAATGTTGGAGAAGATATGGGAAAACTGGAACACTAATGCATTGTTGGTGGAGCTGTGAAGTGATCCAACCATTTTGGAAAGCAATTTGGAACCATGCCCAAAGGGCTATAAAAATGTGCATACTCTTTGACCCAGCAAAAGCACTTCTAGGGCTCATACAAATGGGAAAAGGACCTACATGTACAAAAATATTCATAGCAGCTCTTTTTGTGGTGGCAAAGAATTGGAAATTGAGAGGATACCCATCAATTGGGGAATGGCTGAACAAGTTGCGACATATGAATGTAATGGAATACTATTGTGCTACAAGAAATGATGAACAGGCTGACTTCAGAAAAACCTGGAAAGACTTGTATGGTCTGATGCTGAGTGAAGTGAGCAGAACCAAGAGAACATTGTACACAGTAACAGCCACATTGTGCAATGGCTAACTTTGACAGACTTAGCCCTTAGCAATGCAAGGATCTAAGACATCTCCAAAGGTCTCATGATAGAAAACGCTATCTACATCCAAAGAAAGAACTATGGAGTTTGAATAAAGACTGAAGCATATTAATTTTTTCTCTTCTGTTGTGGTTTGTTTCCTCTTCCTGGTGGTTCCTTCTATTGGTTCTAAGTCTTACTTACAACATCATTAATGTGAAAATATGTTTAATAGGAATGTATTATTAGTTTTCCAGCTGTCTTGGGGAGGGGGAGAAAAATTTAAAACTCAAAAGCTTTTGGAAGTGATTATTGATAAATCAAAATAAATTTTTAAAAAACCATAAAAAAGAGTCCAGTATATGGTAAGCTGCCTTTCAGTGGTGTGTCCAGTGATCATCATTCTGATGCTGTGGACTCATGCTGTCTGGCCAGAATCTCTCTGGCCAGAGCACAGATGCAGTAGGTCACCTGCCCATCTACCAAGTACAGTGGGCTTTCCTTTCTAGACCCTGCACATGGGAAGACTTTCAGGACCTTTGGTGAAGCATCAGGCTCTGAGCTCCTTGACAGAACAATCCACATGCAGTAAAATAGATGTCACTGCCTCCTAACTGGTCCTGCCATTTCTAGGTTTGCCAACAAACTCTGTCCTTGGCATAGGGAGGTAGTGAAAAAATCCTCCCTATCTCAGCTTTCCTGATCAGAATTGCTTGGGGTGTTTTTGGTTGTTGTGGAGGGGATGTGTCGGGATGTCTAAGCAAAAATGTTGGCTCTTACATGACCATCTTGATTCTGCCTGTCTCCTTGTCTGTCTCATAGCTTTACTCATACTCATTTGCAACCTCCTTATATATTTGGATCTCTTTCCCTGAGAACTTTTCCTAGTAGGGATCTGAATTTCCCTTTCTCCCTTCTTCCAAACCCTCTCTTTACAGGATCCTGAGGCAGAACAGAACCTAGAGCCCAGCTTCCCATACCCGAATCTGTTCACCAAGCCATTGAAATGCAGCAAATCCAGGATCAGTTCGGACAACCAAGATGCCAAGAGCAAATTCCAGCATAAGACCCCAAAACACAGCTCTCCAGGACACCTGGGTTTAAGAAGAGATAGCTAGATGACACAGTGAATAGAGATGGGACTTGGAGTCAGGAAGATCTTCCTGAGACATTTATTCACTATGTGACCTTGGTCAATACTTCCCTGTCTCAGTTTCCCCATCTGTAAAATGGAGATAATAATAGCACCAACCTCACAGAGTGATTGTGAGGTTCAAATGAGTGTGAGAGACTTAGCTACTTCAATCAGCATAATGATCCAAGACAATTCCAAAGAAGTCAGGAAGAAAAATGCTATTTATATCCAGAGGAAGACCCAAAACTCTGAGTGCCGATTGAAGTATGTTTTTTTCACTTACTTTATTTTTCTAGCTTTTTTTCAACATGGCTAATATGAAAATGTTTTATATGACTTCACACATATAATTGATATATTTCTTGCCTTGGCAATGGGTGGGGAAGGAGCTGCAGGGAGGAAGATAATTGGAAGCTCAATATTTTAAAAAATGAATGTTAAAGTATATTTTTTCATTTGAATTTAAATTTTATATAACTCCTGAAAAATTTAGCATTCAATTTTTTTTTGCACTTTAAGATTCATTAATTTATTTATTTTTAGTTTTCAACATTCACTTCCATAAGATTTTGAGTTTCATATTTTCTCCCTATCTCATCCCTCTCCCAATCCCAAGACAGCATGCATTCTGAACACCCTTTCCTTTAATCTGCCCTCCCTTCTATCCTCCCCCCTCCTCTTATTCCCTTCCTCTTCTATTTTTCTGTAGGGCAGGATAGATTTCTATACCCCATTGCCTGTATATTTTATTTCCCATTTGCATGTGAAAACAATTTTTTAACATTTGTTTTTAAAACCTTGGGTTCCAAATTTTCTCCCTTCCTCCCTCCTCACCCACTGTCATTGAGAAGGAAAGCAACTCGATACAGGTTATACTTGTGTAGTCATGCCAAACACTTCCATAGTAGTCATGCTGTGGCAAACTAACTATATTTCCCTTCATCTTATCCTGCCCCGCCATTTATTCTATTCTTTTGACCCTGTTCCTCCTCATAAGTGTTTGCTTCTGATTACCCCTCCCCCAATCTGCCCACCCCATATCATTTCCCCACTTTCTTATCCCCTTCCCTATTTTCCTGTAGGGTAAGATAGCTTTCCATATCCAATTGAGTGTGTATGTTATTCCCTCCTTAAGCCAAATCCAATGAGAAAAAGATTCATTCATTCCCTCTCACCTCCCCTCACTTCCTCTCCATTGTAAAAGCCTTTTCTTGCCTCTTTTATGTGAGATAATTTACCCCATTCTACCTCTCCCTTTCTCCTTCTCCCAGTATAATCCTCTCTCACCACTTAATTTTATTCTCCAGATATCACCCATTCATCTTCAACTCACCCTGTGCCCTCTATCTATCAATCTATCTATACATATAATTTTTTCCCTCTAACTACCCTAATACTGACAAAGGGGTCATGAGTTACAAATATCATCTTTCCATGTAGGAATGTAAACAGTTCAACCTTAATAAGTCCCTTATGATTTCTCTTTCCTGTTTACCTCTTCATGTTTCATTTGAGTCTTGTATTTGAAAGTTAAATTTTCTATTCAGCTCTGGTCTTTTCATCAAGAATGCTTAAAAGTCCTCTATTTCACTGAATGTCCATTTTTTTTTCCCCTGAAGGATTATACTCAGTTTTGATGGGTAGGTGATTCTTGGTTGTAATCCTAGCTCCTTTGCCCTCTGGATTATTATATTCCATGCCCTCTGGTCCCTTAATGTAGAAGCTACTAAATCCTGTTATCCTGATTGTGTTTCCACAATACTGGAATTGCTTCTTTCTGCTCCAGGTTCACTGAGGCCTGGTCTTTTTCTGCACACCCATGCTGAACTGTTTTTCTCTCCTAGCCAGGTGCAGTAGACCTTTCTAATCAACCATCCAGTTTGTCTTGGGCTGGAAATTTGTTTCACTCTGTCTTTTTGTGGGTTCTGCTGCTCTAGGATTTGTTTAGAGCAATTTTTTATAGGTATTTGGAGGGCTTTGGGGGAGAGCTCAATCAAGTGACTGCTTTTACTCTGCCATCTTGGCTCCACCTTCCCAAGTATAACTATTTTTAAAAACACCATATAAAATTCTTTTGAAACCTTCACTATGTAAATGTTATTCTTCCCATCTAGGTCCCTATCCGAGAATCACAGAATTTGAGAGTTGGAAGGGGTCCCAATAGGCATCTAGTGTTATACACAAAAGGAATCTACACTACAATATACCAAACAGTGGTCATCCAATGCCTCTACTTCAAGACCTCCAAGGAAGGGGGAACCCACCACCCTTAAGGTAGCCCATTACACCTGTATATTATTCCAAATGTCATAGCTGACCTGTTGTTGGAAGCAACCTGAGATTTTAGGTACAGGCCTGAGGGATCTCCAGCAGACTGTTGCCATGCAGAAAAACACGGGGGTTACTCATCTGAACAATTTCAGAAATCATGGCTAATGGTTAGATGACATCCATCCAGAGCCCCTGGGACCCCTGGGCTTGAATTGAGGTTATATCAGAACCAGGTATTCTAAGAGACTATAAGACAACTTTAAAAAAAAAAGTTTTGCTAAGTCTGCATAATAAAAGTACACTTCTGATATTTCACAATTATAGTCAAACTGTACTTTCAGATAATCAGTATGAAAATCTGCTGTCCTTCAGGAATCTAGCCAGAAGGATTGTGCTCATTCCATATACTTTTTTTAAATATAGATTTTCTGGTCCATGCATATGACTTGTCTGATTTATTTTCTAAATTCCTAAGCCACTTTCAAATACTTTAGCCTTGCCTGGCTCCTACTAATCAAAGAGGAACCAACCTGGGTTTCATAAGGATCCTTGGCATTTCTTATCTCCCTTCTGACTTTATGCTCTGGTATTCTCCCCACTCCCCATCTGACACCAACTTATTTCTTGATTCAGCAATGGTTCTATGGACAAGTAATTGGAGTTCAGGTCACTCCCATGGTAGCCACCTGATGGACTTCTCATTGCTTAAGTAGGAGGCCATTGGGGTGGTTTTCTTAGCCTTATGTATAAACCCAAGACTTACTGCAAAGTGGTGTTTGGAGTAGGCAAAGAGGATAATAATGAACATACAGATTCCAGCAAAAGAAATGAGCTGCTTTGGCCTTTGAGCAGTGTCAAGGACCAGCCACAGGACGAGGCTGACCAAGGCAACTGCAATTAGACCCCTAGAAAGAGAAGGAAAGAGAAGATATTATTCACTGGAATAGCTCAAAGATAAAAAAGTGTTACAGGCAGAGTAGTGAAGTCTTCAACAGGGAATTATTCTCAATGGGAACCCACTACAATGAGTGAATAAAACCCTTTTCCAGAATCCTTATTGGCTTAACACAGTTTACAGATGTATAAACTTCCTCACAATTACTACTAAAAATGTTTTGAAAGGACTTGTGATTTCATTGGTATAGGAAATCTGAGTGTGGAAATTCCCTCTACCAATGCAATTTGTCAACTTGTCTGTAATTTAGAATCTTAGAGAGTTGCGTTGGACACTGAAAGGGTGATTTGTCCAGTATGTGACTCAGGCTAAAATTGAACTCATGTCTTTCTGACTCCAAGGCAGTCCCTCTCCTATCCAATGGGATAATATATGTAAAAAACACTTGGCAAACTTTAAAGCACAAACATAAATGAAAGCTATATCATTATTATTGTTACTATTTTAAAAATAATAATACTAGCTGACACATATGATCCTTTCAGGTTTCCAAATCCCTTGATGTACATTATCTTATTTAACCTAATAGAAAAATACTCCCTTTGCCTGTATATGCTATAATGCCACCTACTTCAATGATTCAGAGTGCTGTTGAAAAGATCATTGATTTAGAAGTAGAAGGGATCTTTGTTATCCTCTAGGCTAACTTGTTTGTTTTACAGATGAGGAAACTGAGGTCAAGAGAAATGTAAGTGCCTTGCCCAAGATCACACACATTGTAATCTTCGGAGCCAATATTCAAACCCAGATACTCTGATTTCAAATCATCACCCTTTCCACTGTACCACATTGTCTCTCAGTGATGGACTTACGTAGATTTAGGCTAATATAAATTCTCACTGGCCCCTTATACCTGGCCTTTCCATTGAACAACTCTAAGAGGACAAGAGGAATAGCCAAAAACAGGGGGAATCTCAGAGTTTGCACATTACCCTGTGCAAAAGACCACAAACATATTGTTGGAAATGATGACCCATTCCTCATTGTCAGCAGATCTGTCAGCACTACCAATAGTTCCAGGAAGGCTGGAGATATGATGCAGGAATATGAGAATGTCAGGGTAGATGGGGAAGGTATGTAATTTCTAGAACAGAATATCAACACAGCAAAACAGTAATGCCCCATCCAAAGCTTGTCTATTCATTGTCCAATTATTTCATTGAATTGGATCATCATTTCTCTTGTTCCTGATACGGACATTTGTGATGAATGAATTAAAAAAGACATTCTGAACTCACTCAGTATGCCTGCAATTTGACCTTGACTCTTTTTCATGTTAATATTATTCCTAGCTAGATGCTGAAGGACTGTTTAAGGTATCTGCATCTAGGAAGCGCTGGCCACCCCTCCAGGAACTGAATATTCATCAACAGGAATACTCTCAGGGATATTTTGAGAACAGCTCCTTTCCCACCAATCACACATTTATTTGGCAAACTGCCTCCTTTGTTAGAAGGAAATGCTAAAGGTGGGTAGTCCTGAGCCATCTTTGGAGCCTCCCCCATGGTATGGACACATAGCCCGAGATTTTCACATTGGGACTCTGGAGGCTGATTGTGGACTCCCCAGCTGTGTGATCCAGATGTAGAGGATTCCCCTGATGGTGATAATCGATTGTGGTAAGATTTGATACTGACTGAGACTTAAGTTGTTATTGATTAAGACCTTATTAACTATTGAGACTTACTGTTTGAGATTTACTTATAGAGACCTATATTAACTATTGAGACTTATAATATTATTGCTTACTTACTGAGACTTATACTATCACTTACTTACCTTTATTACTATTTTAATAATAAATTATATATATATATATGTGTATATATGTATATGTACACACACACACATATGTATGTATATATGTATCAAACTTGAGACGCTGTGTTATTTCTAACCCAATCTAAACCAAAACTAAATTAAGCTGCAGTAAATAAGCCTGCTTCACAATACATTTGTGGAGTCATGAACAGGATGGATTTAGAAATGCCATTGTTCTCAAAGAAAACAGCCCCATTGACACTCTAGGGTGGGAAGATATGCCTTATGTATTCCTCGCTAGAGAGCGGGTTATGAGAATAGGCCCTTGTGATTATTGGGAAGGCAAATTGAGGAAAGCAGAACCTCTGGATGTTTCACACTGTTTAGGAAGTTTCCCTTTTGAAAAAGGAAAAGATCATTTGACTGTCTGCCAGAGAGGCTGGCCTCTCCTGGCTGCCTATTGGCTCATGCACCAGCAAAGGGACAAACTGATGGATGAAAAAGCTCAAGCAGAGAAAGAGATGGACAAATTTCCCCCCTCCGACACCCAGGGATCTGCTCATAGGTTATCTTTTACAGAACTGGAAAAAGCTCAGTCTCCAAGACCTTAAAAACGAACATTTTGCCTAATTCTATACAACCTGGTAGATCATAAAAAAATTCTCTGATTTGTGCAGGGGATTTCTTTTAAAAAAAAAAATTAATTTATTTTGAATTATCAACAATCACTTCCATAAGCTTTTGAGTTTTAAATTTTTCTCCCCATCTCCTTCCCTAAGACATCATGCAATCTGATATAGGCTATACATATATATTTCTATTAAACATATTTTCACATAGTGATGTTGTAGGTAAGAATTAGAACCAATAGGAGGAACCACCAGAAAGAGGAAACAAAACAAAAATAGCAAATAGTATGCTTCAATCTGCATTCAAACTCAATAGTTCTTTCTTTGGATACAGATAGCATTTTCTATCACGAGGCCTTTGGAAATGTCTTAGATCCTTGCATTGCTGAGAAGGGTTAAGTCTATCAATATTAGTCATCACACAACTAGGCTGTTACTGTGTACAATGTTCTCCTGGTTCTGCTCATTTCACTCAGCAACAGACCATACAAGTCTTTCCAGGTTTTTCTGAAGTCAGCCTGTCATCATTTCTTATAGCACAATAGTATTCCATTACATTTATATACCACAGATTGTTCAGCCATTCCCCAATTGATGGGCATCCTCTCAATTTCCAATTCTTTGCCACCACAAAAAGAGCTGCTATAAATATTTTTGTACATGTAGGTCCTTTTCCCATTTGTATGATCTCTCTGGGATATTGCCCTAGAAGTGCTATTGTTGGGTCAAAGGGTATGCACATTTTTATAGCCCTTTGGATATAGTTCCAAATTGCTCTCCAAAATGGTTGGATTGTACAGGGGATTTCTGACAATCCTCTCTGAGCTTTTGGATTCTCCTTGTCATTTTTGGTGTTACCCTACCTGTATTTGTTCTGTGTTTATGTCTCTGTGTGGTGTGAGTGAGTGTCTGTGCATAATCCGTACCCTGTAAGGTTTAAAATGCAGCCAGCCAGCAAGAGTAGCTTTCAATGGCTACAGCTGGACTTTGCTTGGAGTGCCGCTTTCTCTCTCTCTCTCCTCTTCTCCCTCCCTCTCTGATTGCAGCAGCCTCAGAGGAGCGAGTAGATGGGAGAGAAAAAGAGAGAGAAAAATACTTTATTATTTAGGTTATATGCTTGGTAAAAGCAAGTTGAGGAGAGTAAGAGAAGTGTTAGATCAGAATTAGAAAGAAATAAGATATGTGCAGTTTTAAAAGGGGCTTTAATCAAAATCCACCAGAGGGATAAGTAGATAGGAGGAAAGGCAAAAAAGTATAAACATGTAGGAATGAGAGGAGTATCGGTAAAAAGAAAGGCATAATCTATTTGCACAAACTGTGTGAACAGAGGGTTTGAGAGTAATGGTTTGGAAACTTTTGGAAAATTATAAAAATTGCAAATTTATAAACTATAAATTGTAAAAATTATAATTTTAATTATAAATTAAAAAATTCTCTCTCTCTCCATTCCAACTCTGGCCAAGTTTGAATGTAGAGGAAGAGACAAGAAAGAAAGATGGAACCTTTTCCTCTCAGATCAAAGAGAGGCAGGTTGACTTAATCTTTCTTGCCTCACATAAAAGAGAAAAGTTTTTGTGTACCAGAACACAACCAAAAGGTAATTGAATTCATTCCAGTCATATTTTAAGTGAAATGTTTCACTACTAACTTGATGCTTAAGATAAGTCAGAATTTATTATACTATTTGGTACTAAGGCAAATTGGGAAAATGCATGGATTTGAAATTTGCTGCCTGGGTAGCATTAAGCACGTTATCTCAGTTTACCTTACATGATTAGAAGGTGCCTAATACAATGCCTGACAGAGGGCAGACGCTATAAATGTTAACTATTATTATTAGTTCCTTAATTAGATGTGGTTGGGTTTTTTTTTTAATTTTAGGCAATTGGGGTTAAGTGACTTGCCCAGGGTCAGAGAGCTAGTAAATGTCAAGTATTTGATCTGAGGCTGGATTTGAACTCAGGTCCTCCTGACTTCAGGACCGGTGCTCTATCCACTGCACCACCTAGCTGCCCCAAATGTATTTGAAGGGTTTTTTTGTTTGTTTTTTGGGGTTTTTTTGTCTAGGCAATGGGGTTAAATGACTTGCCTAGGGTCACACAGCTAATAAGTGTTATGTGTCTGAGGTCAGATTTTGAATTCAGGTCCTCCTGACTCCAGGGCTGGTGCTCTATCCACTGCACCACCTACCTGCCCCCCTTAATTAGATGTGACCAGTATACAATGCCAATGGTGATGAGATGCCTGATTTTGTATGTAAGGTAATTTGGAAATATGTTCAACAGAATTGGAGTCACCTGATTTGTTTAAAGTTGTGTTTGTTTAAAGATGTGTTGTTCTATTTGTTTAAAGATGTGTTTGTTTAAAGTTTTAAATGCCTAATATTGTTTCAAATTGGCAAACTTTTGTATCAGTTATATTAAGCAACTTTCATAATTTAGATGTTATTAATATATGAACTGAAAGAAACTAAAAGATGGTGGGAAAATTGTGTAAAACCAGTTATGTCATTTCATCAATCCTGGTATCCTTGTCTTATAATGTTTTATAACTGCCATTTAGAAAACCAGCTATTTCCACCTTTGCCTGTAGTTAAAGAAGAGATCACAGCTAAAACAATTTGGCTATCACTCATGAAAGTTGTAAGGTTGTTAACTAAGTTATTTGGACTTACTGTTTTAATGCTAAAACCTAAAATTGTTAATTGATTACTGTGTGTGGAAAGGAGGGGATTGGGTGAAAACCTTATCCTGATTGTTTTTGCTTACCTCCTTGAGGTATGGGGGTTGGCGGGCAGAGGCACCAGAATCAAGCACCTCTTTGGGGTCCATGTTGATTCTCCTTATTTTGTAAACTTGCCAAGGACCCTGGAAACCACCTGCGTGGGCAAGGTCATCTTCCCCAGGAAAAGAACTTGTTTGGGTTATGGAGTTCCTAAACAATGAGCTTGGTGTGCTGAGAAATTGCAAGTTTATGTACGCTAGATAGAAAGGATTTCCAATGACTGGCTTTTACACCAGGACAAGTTTAAAATTGAGAAGGAAAGATGTCAAATGGAATGCCTTATGTATGTGAGTCCTGGTAAATTTTTGTTGCTCTTGCAACTCCATGAGAGTAAAAATAACTGTATGTGGCTCTAAGCAGTGATTGGTGAAACTTGCTGTTTGAGGTAAAAGACTCTTGGTATTGTAACTAATTTTGTTTTGAGTTTGAATTTGGGTGTGATTTTCTGCATTAAACCAGTAACTTAGAGAACTGCCACAAGCTACTCAGGGGAAATGTGATCCTGTGCTGTTAACAGGTAGAGTTCTGCATCTGGGAAAAAGTCATAAGGACAATCTTAGCCTCAATCCAGGATGGGATCCTCCTGGCTCAGTTTCCCCACTGTGTTCCTTTGAAAAGGAATGTTTCCCACCTCACTGTTCCTGAGTCTGGCTATGAGGTGGAATTGATACTGCATGGTGGGAGAACTTTGACTGTCATCTGAATTCAAACAGAGCTAAGGATGTTTTATCCTGTCATATTTGATATGTCATATGTCCCTGCTTTTTTATCCTTTTATAGCAAATTTCTATGATCAGAGCAAGTAGTCAGTAAAAGATATGAGCACAGTGTAAGTATGTGAGATCTTGCTGTTTTGATCTTAATTTGTAGTCATTCCATGGTTTAAACAAGAGTTAAAATTACTGTTTGAATTTATCATATGTAAAAGATTCAATTTTTGACGTATCTCTTATTTCCAGAGTGAATATAATTAGAGAAGGATAAACAGGCTTGTGAAACAAAGATGTGTATCTATTTAGTTGTGAAGTTAAAGTCAGGAATCTCTTTTGTTTAGAGCAATACAGTTATGTTAGTGAAGAGTAATAAAAGCTATCTTGTCTTATGGTTGAGATAGAAAGGAAAATTAAGTAGCCTCATTTGAAAATTTGAAAATTTGAAAACTTGAAAATTCGTGAAATTTGAGATGGCCCTATCAGAAGGATACCAGTCCATATTTACTCTGCTTCTGGTAATTGTCCTCCTACTCCTTTTTGGCCCTTGTTTGCTTAACCTCCTTGCCAGATTTGTCTTCTCTAGGCTCAGTGCCTTCCACTTGCAAATGACCTCTCAGGCTAGATATCACCCTCTGTCGGAGACCATGACCCATCACCTTCTGGACTTGAAACCAGCGAAGTTCTGTACATTGGCTAACGAGCCAACCACTTCAACAGGACCCCAAGAGGCAGGAACAGCTACATGTCCATTCTCAGCAAGAAGCAGTTTCAGAAGCCAAGACCTTCATCCCTCACCCCAAAAGATTTTGGGTCTCATTTGTTTGATGGGGAAATGATGGATGCTTGCACTCAGATTCCAGCCCTAGGATCACGTCTCTCTTCAGCCTTTATATGATATGATTATTGTTTACTGTTTTATCATTTTTCAATTGTTATTTGTTTTGTCATCTAAAAGCCCTAGGATCATGTCTCTCTTCAGCCTTTATATGATATGATTATTGTTTACTGTTTTATCATTTTTCAATTGTTATTTGTTTTGTCATCTAAAATAAGTATATTCTCACATGTTACATTTTATTCCTGATGAACTCTGGGTAAAATGACACCCTAGTGATAGACCAAAGGCCACCAAAATTATTGCACAAGGCACCAATAACACTGTTTCTCACATGTATTATGGCTTTGTGTATGCTACCATGCCATTACTAGTGGAACCCATATGGGATACCATAATGGATACCCCTTGTTTTCTTTCTGGACATATAATCTTAGCAAGCATTATGGTCCTGTACTTATAAATGTAAATATGTAAGCAATGATAGGTCCCTTTACTTGTATATGTGTTACTTTTGATAATCTCACTGCTGATCCAGAAAACTTTACTCATGTTGTATGTAATAATTGTACTACGAGTGTTTTTATGTATCTACCTAACAATTGTTCATATTGGTTTCCCAAAGTCACTGTTTTGTATCAAGGAGAAAGTTATAACAATGTTTCTTACACACTAACGCCATCTAAACCTCCTCCCTCACAGAAGACTTTAAATCATCTGTTAAAAACATCCCTTCACCCTTATTATATATCACAATGCAACTATAGTACTTCCTGGTCTCAACATGTCTCTATGCTAAATAACAGTCACCATCCACAGTTCGTGCCCCTAAAGAATATATTTTCTTGTGTGGACATTATACCACCCCTATCTTTGTGTATGAAACAGCATGTGGCCTCCAAGACCTCCAAGAATCATTAGACTCTCTAGCCAATGTAGTCATGGATAATAGGATAGCTCTAGATTATCTACTAGCTGCTGAAGGAGGAGTATGTATGGTACTAAATACTTCATTTGTGTGTATGTAAATCACTCTAGGCAAGTTGACACTCAGATTCACCATCTCTAAGAAATTGCTCAATGGATGCAAGATACCAGGTCCCAAGTATTCTGGACACAATCCTAGGGGGCATCTATTACATCTTATTTGATTGGTTTAATCCCCACTGGTATATTAATTTTATATTTTTGTGTTTTGGTCCATGTGTTTTTAATTGTATAACTTCCTTTGTTTTTACTCAGCTCCAGGTATTCATCTCTTACAAATGAGCTTGGTAGAATGTAGGGCCGAATGTGATAAATAAATTAAAAAAGACATTCTGACCTCACTCAGTATGCCTGCAATTTGACCCTGACTCTTTTTCATATTAATCTTATTCCTAGCTAGATGCTGAAGGACTGTGTATAGTATTTGCTCTCAGGAAGGGCTGGCCACCCCTCCAGAAACTGAATATTCATCAACAATAATATTCTCAAGGATGTTTTGAGAACAGCTCCCTTCCCACCAATCACACATTTATTTGGCAAGCTGCCTTCTTTGTTAGAAGGAATCATGAAAGGTGGGTAGTCCTGAGCCATCTTTGGGCCTCCCCCATGGTATGGACACATAGCACAGATTTTCTCGTTGGGACTCTGGAGGCTGATTCGGGGACTCACCAGCTGTGTGATCCAGATGTAGATGATTCCCCTGATGGTGATAATCGATTGTGGTAAGATTTGATACTGAGACAAGTTGTTATTGTTAACTATTGAGACATACTGTTTGAGATTCACTTATTGAGACCTATATTAGCTATTGAGACTTATAATACTATTGCTTACTTACTGAGACTTATACTATCGCTTACCTTTATTACTATTTTAATAATAAATACTATATGTATATATATACATATATACATATATATATATATAAAACCTGAGACTGTGTCATTTCTAAACCAATCTGAACTGAAACTATTAACAGTAAATAAGGCTGCTTCATAATACATTTGAATGGTGAGTCAATTGATTCCCTTTCTCTGAAATATCATTATTCCCTTTGGGCATGCTAAGAGGCAGAGCTAAACCCAATGGCCCCAGTGAGTCCAGCAATAATCTCTCGTAGGAGATACAGAGAAAGACAGAGACAGAGACACAGGAAAGACAAAGAGAGATGAGAAAATAATTCTAGAATTTGGAGTAAAGGTGGCACCTATCTGAAAAACAACAAAACTGTGGGGTGCTTAGTCATTGAAGCACTCTTCCAACTCACCATTTTAGCCAACGCCACAGCTGAGAATTTTCAAAAGGCTTCCCATATCTCAACAGTTTCTTCCCAAAATGCCTTTTAATGAGATTGTAAGCCAAAAAGACGAGGACCAAACAGGTGAGGACAAACAAAGCCAGGGCTCTTTGGAAATTCAGGATACAGGCCACCAAGACATATGCAAAATAGGCTAAAGAGAATTGAAAGAGAAAAGGATGTAAGTCAGGGAATGGACCTTTTTTTTTGTAAAAATAAATTTTAATCATGTCTTTTGTTTATTTTTTACATCACTAAAATTTTTTTCAGTATTTTTCCTACGCCCCAGCAATCCCATATAACAAATAATACTTTTACATGAAACAGGAAAAGAGAAAAAAATCAGCAAAACTGACCAGTGGCCAAAAAAAATCTGAAAATATATACAATGTAACACACCTGTGGCTCTCTCACCTCTGCAAAAAGGTAGGCAAGGGATGTCTTCTCATATCTCTTCTTTGGAGTAGCTCTTGTTCTTTGTAATCTTGCAACATTCATTTCTGATTGTTTTTCTGGTTGTTCTTTGCTTTTACATTGTATATATTATTTTCTTGGCCTTGCCAGCTTCACTCTGCATCAGTTCATGTAAATCTTCCCGTGCTTCTCTTTGCCCATCATAGTAATATTCCATTACATTCACGTACCACATTTGTTTAGCCATTGCTCAATCGTTTCCAATTCTTTGCTATCACAAAAAATGCTGCTGTAAAAGTATAGGTGTATATGAGGATTTTCTTTTTTTTTTTTAATCAATGACCTCTTTGAGGCATAAGTCTTCTGCATAATGTAGTCTCCTTATTTCTTTTTATGTTGTGAATATTTATTTATCTTTTGTTTGTCTGACAGCATAATTTCTACCACTGCCTTTTGGATTCACCTGATACATTTGTTCTAGCCTTCCATTTTTATTCTGTATATGTCTTTGATTTTTTAAAAATTAATTTATTTTGATTTATCAACAATCACTTCCATAAGTTTTTGAGTTTAAAATTTTTCTCCCCTTCCCTCCCCGCCTCCTTCCCCAAGACAGCACACAATCTGATATAGGCTATACATATACATTCCTATTAAACACATTTTCACATTAGTGATGTTGTAAGGAAGAATTAGAACCAATAGGAGGAACCCCAAGAAAGAGAAAACAAAACAAAACAGAAGGAAAAAAATAGCAAATAATATGCTTCAATCTGCATTCAAATTCCATAGTTCTTTCTTTGGATGTGGATAGCATTTTCCATCATGAGACCTTTGGAGATGTCTTAGATCCTTGCATTGCTGAGAAGGGCTAAATCTATCAATATTAATCTTCATACAACGTGGCTGTTACTGTGTACAACATTCTCCTGGTTCTGCTCACTTCGCTCAGCATCAGTCCATGCAAGTCTTTTCAGGTTTTTCTGAAGTCGGCCTGCTCATCATTTCTTATAGCACAATAGTATTCCACTACATTCATATACCACAACCTGTTCATCCGAGGGAATGAACTTCTAAGGGGGTGAATAGAACATTTGCCATGAATTTTAAGGATTTGAGCAAGAAAGACCTGCAATGATCTCCCAAGCTCAGCCCAACCCCTTGGCATTTTATGGCATTTGGCCTAAGCTGAGTTGCTCAGATATCAGTCATTTTCTTTTTTTTTTAATGTTATTTTTTTAATCAGCAAATATCTGCCCTTTCTCTCTCCTACCTCATCCTTTCCCTCAATTGAGAATTAAAAAAAACAACTTGCTACAAACAAGTATCACCAAACAAATTTCTGCATTTGACCATGTCTAAAAGGAAAAAATATATAAATACATATGTATATGCATATATGTCTCATTCTGCACTCCAAGTCTCATTTCTCAGGAGGTCGGTAGCATGTTTCATTGTGAATCCTCTGAAATTGTGTTTCAACATTACCCTGATCAGAGTTCCTAAATCTTTCAAAGTTGTTTGTCTTTACTATATGGTTGTCATTCTGTAAACTGATCTCCTGAATCTGCTCACTTCATTCTCTATTACTTCACACAAATTTTCCCAGGTCTCTCTGAAACCATCCCCTTCACCATTTCTCAAAGCACAATAGTACTCCATCATATTCATATATCATTTATTGCCCAATTGATGGACACCCCCTGAGTTTCCAATTCTTTACCACTGCAAAAAGAGCTATATATATTTTTGTACATCTTTAGTTAGAGTTTGGTTTGCTTGGGACTAATTTCTCCCGTAATCTCCCCTGCCTCTTATTTCCCCTTTCCTGAATTCCTTTCTTCTTATTTCTCTGCTGAGTGAAATGTATTTCTGTACCCAACTGAGTGTATGTGTGTTCTTCCCTCCTTTGACCAGTTCAAATGAGAGTGAGTTTCAATGTCACCTAGGGGAGTTCACTAAAGTTTTCTGGACTTTGGCTCCTTGACTACCAATTTAGAGGCTGGCCTAAGGAAGCAGCATAGTCTAGGAGTGGTAAGAGTACTAGATTCAGATTCTAAGGATTATAGATTTAAAACTAGAAGGATCATAGGATCATAGTTTTAGGGCTGGAAAAGACCTTAGAGACCATTCAATCTGACTTCCTCACTTTACAATGAAGAAACTGAAGCACGGAAAGGTTCAGTGACTTGCCCAGGGTCACATCACAACTAAGTATCCGAGGTAGGCTTTGACCATAACTCTAGTACCTATCCCCTGTGACATGCTGGCTCAATTGGAGCTTATCTATTTTATAGATGAAAAACTGAGGCCTGGGGCAGCTAGGTGGTGCAGTGGATAGAGCACTGGCCCTGGATTCAGAAGGACCTGAGTGCAAATCCAGCCTCAGACACATAAGATTTATTAGCTATGTGACCCCTGGGCAAGTCACTTAACCCCATTTCCTAGCCAAAAACAAACAAACAAAAAAATAATTGAGGCCCAGACAAGTTCTTCTTTTGAGCCCACCCTGCCTTGAGCAAGCCTGTAATTCTTTGATTTTTCTTTTTTCTTTTTAAATTTTTCTCCCTTAAGCAAATGAGATGTGATTATAACACAGCATATTAGGTCTAGGAGGTAAAAACAAAAAACAAAAAATTAAAACTCTACCACCCACCAATGAAGTCATAATAATAGCTAGTGTTTATATAATATTTTGAAATTTGCAGGGGCAGCTAAGTAGCGAAGTACATAGAGTGCTAAGCCTGGAGTCAGAAAGATCTGAGTTCAAATATGACCTCAGACATTTACTGTGTGACCCTGGGCAAGTCATTTTACCCTGTTTGTCTCAGTTTCCTCATCTATAAAATGAGCTGGAGAAGGAAATGGCAAGGCACTCTAGTATCTTTGCCAAAAACAGCCCAAATGGGATCAGAAAGAATCTGACATGACCAAAACAACTGAACAACAATTAAAAAAAAAGGGTAAAGAACCTATTTGTACAAAAAAACATTTATAGCAGTGCTTTTTGTAGTGCAAATAATTAGAAATTGAGGGGATGTTCATCAATTGCAGAATGACTGAACAAGTTGTGATTGTATATGATATGTATATGATTGTAATAGAATATTATTGTACTATAAGAAATGACAAGCAGGTTGATTTCAGAAAAACTGGGAAAGACTTATATGAACTGATGCAAAGTGAAGTGAGCAGAACCAGGAGATACTGTACAATGATCAACTGTGAATGACTTAGCTCTTCACAGAAATACAATGATCCAAGACAATTCCAAAGGACTCGTGATGAAAAATGCTATCCACCTGCAGAGAAAGAACTGATGGAATCTGAATGTAGATCAAAGCATACCATTTTTCACTTTCTGTATTTTTATTTCATAGATTTTTTTTCCTTTGGGTCTGCATCTTCTTTCACAACATGACTAATATGGGAATATGTTTTGCATGATTGAACATGTATAACCTACATCAAATTGCTTACTGTCTCAGGGAAGAGGGAGGTAAGGGAGGGAGAGAGAAAATTTAAAAATCAAAATTTTAAAAAATGAATATTAAAAAATTGTTTTGACATGTGACTGGGAAAAAATAAAATATTATTGGGGAAAAATGATTTGCAAAAGGACAGATGCTTACTGATCTGGAAGAGCAGCACAGTGGCTAAAGATGGGTCCGCATCCATGGTCATTTTCTCTTCCTATTCCTCCCCTTCTTCTTCTTCCTACTTTCTTCCTTTCCCTTCCCTGAATCCAGCTTAGGCTAGCCCATCCCACCCTGGCTCTGAGGGACAGCCAGAAGTCTGCCTGCCTAGATGCCTAAGTGGCACATATCTGCCTATTAAAGTTGGGAAGAGGAAAACAACTTTTTGAGTAATAAAGATGTCTCCTAAATTCAGGTACTACCTAAATGATGATGATGTCATTGGTTCCATGAAAAGTAAAAGAAGAAATCTTTTGGGAAAAGATTCAGATGAAGAAGATTTTTTTTCCCTAAGGAGTCCATCTGGACTAAGATGTAGACCTCAGCATGTATAGAATCAGGTGGAAGGAATTGGCGTCATGCAAGGAAATATTACCAAGGTAATTGAAAAAGAAGAGAGACTAGGTGAGCTACAAGACAGATCAGAAAGTTTAAAAGATAATGCAACAGCTTTTAGCAATGGAGCTAAAAAGTTCTGAAGACAAATGTGGTGGCATGGATGCAAAATGAAGTCATAATGGTTCTGGCTGCCATTTAGTTTTGGCTGGTGATTCTCAGTCCTACTGTCCTGAAATAGCAAGCTTGATCTCTATTAAAACAATTCTGGGACAATTAAAAAAAAAAAGAAGATTTCCATATAATTTAATCAAATATGTATACAACTTTCAAAAGCTTTTTTGTCAAGAGCTAAAATAAAGCAAGTGCCCAGTTCATATTGGAGCACTGACGAGGTTCTAGTCTCCTCCCATTGAACAAAATATGCTTTTATTAATTTGTTTTAAAAATAGAAACATCTACTTTTCCAAGTTCTAGGAATCTAATTTGAAACTGGATATTTGCTAATACAATATTTGTCTATACAGCTAACCTCTGGTGATGATATTTATAATTTAACACAATTTTCTACTGTAAACTAAAGAAGTAGGGATTTATTGCATCAAGTTCAGGATAGGGTGGGAGGTAAGAAGCACATGTAGAGAGATGAAGTGTTATGTACAAGGGGTGGTAACCACTCAGTTAATGATTACAAAATGTCTAATTTTCCTCGTGTAAAAAAATTAGGGCTTTGGAAACGGTTTCCATATATTTTGTTGTTGTTGTTCAATCATTTCAGTCCTGTCTGACTCTTCCTGACTCTATTTGGGGTTTTCTTGGCAAGGAGACTGGAGTGGCTTATCACTTCCTTCTCCAGCTCATTTTACAGATAAGGAACTGAGGCAAATAGCATTAAGTGACTTGCCCATATATCTATGGAGAACTAAGGTTTTCCAATATTACTACTTTCAACTGTGACTAAAGACATTCTGGTAAACCTTAAAAAATTTTCAGAGTACTTTACATATTTTAATTGATTTGAGCCTCACAACAACCCTGTGTGTTGTAGGGGATATTATTCCCTACAGAAGCAGACACAGAGCAGTTAAGTCACTTGCCCAGGGTCACACAGCTAGTAAGTTTCTGAGGAAGGATTTTAGCTCAGGTCTTCTTGACTCCAGGCCCAGCACTCTATCCACTGTCCTACCTAGCAGCATGTTTTATAGCAATGCAGCACCCAATCCCACAGTGATATAATCTCTCACTTCTCAGTATTTGAAGAAAACCGCACTCAGAATGTCTCACCTGTACACAGGAGGCCCCATAGGATTCTCTGGAACAGCTGGGCATGAGCTCTGTAGAGCTGTTGTACCTTGGAGAAAGGCTCCTGGCTCCTCCTTATCGAAGAGCAAATAGCAAGAAGTTAGAATGACCTCAGCTCCTTCTCATCAGCTCCTAGACTCCCAGCCCAGGAGGGACTCCTGGATTCTGTCTTTATTCAATGGATGCACTCAGCAGATGATGGTCTTTGGCACGAAGAAAACTGATCCTGGTCATGTTAAATCTACCCTTTCTGGGCCCCAAATCCCAGCAAACTCCATCCCACCTGGACCAAGAGGTCTCCCAGATTACCCCTCATGCCTCAGGAAAGGGAATAGCTTTTTTTCTGCCTCTTTCATAGAAGGTTTTCACTCATTGCTGTCCCCTAAGGTCACTGAATGCACAGTAGTGACATTCTGAAGTGGGGGAAGGTGAAGGTCTCTTAAAAAGCCCTTCTGGGCTTTCTAGCCCCCAGAGACACCCCCTTGAACAGTCCATCAATGTGTTTACAGACGAGAAAACTCCAGTGGGGGGTTTACTCTAATTGGTTGGGTTGTTAGGAGGTACCAATAGTATGAGTGCTTCAGAATGACCCTAGCTCCTCACTTGTCTCTGATATCTGTGAGCTTTACACCCAAACCCTACAAGCAGACCTCCTTGTTTCTCTGAGCCCAATGGCTCTCTTTGAGGATGGTGGTGTTTCCAGGGAGAGTTTTTATGGTGGAGAATAGGAGGGTGTCATTTAACTTCTCCGTGTGCCTAGGCAACTGCATCAGCTGAGGGGGGAGGGGCTCACTGGGAACACGGAGGAACCATAGGATCATAGAAATAGAGCTAGAAGGGACCTGAAAAGCTTCCTCGTTTTACATTGAATGAACTGAAGTGGCTTAATTTGGACTTGGACTATGGCTATAGGGAAGCATCAGAGGTGGCATTTTAACCTAGATAGTCATTCCACTCTAACAAGCTGCCTTTGAATAGGGGTGAAACCAAAGTTTCCACAGAGAGATAGAGATGGTTGGTCAGTCAATAAATATTTATTCATCACCACTATGTGCCAGGCACTGTGCTAAATGCTGGGAAAGTAAAAAGAGGGAAAAGGCAGTCCTTAATCTCAAGGAACTTACAATCTAATGGATGGACAGACAGGAAAGAGATGGGGGCAGGTAGGTTGTGCAGCAGGTAGAGCACTGGCCTGGGAATTAGGAGGACCTGAGTCCAAATCCAGCCTCAGACACTTGACACTTATTAGCTGTGTGACCCTGAGCAAGTCACTTAACCCCATTGCCTAGCCAAAACTAAAAACAAGCAAGAGACAAAGATAGAGGCAATGCTAGAGAAAGAAAAAGGAATAGAGAAGAAAGACAGATATAAGAGACACAGAAACAGAAGGGAGTGACAGAGAGCGAACGAGAAGATAATCTAGCATTGGTGGGAGCATTCAGGAAATTGGAGTCCAGAAGGTTATTTTAGAGTCTAGATAGGGGAAGTAGGCTTCTGGGAAGAACACAAGTTTGATTCGAAGGAGTATAGATGAAAATAGCAAATATTGGGATAGTTGTGGAAAATGGCACCTACTAAGCGACTGCATGTGGATTCTAGATCTGCTTCCCATGCAGTAATACTTGTTTCAGGGAGCAATGGTGAAGGGCCATTGTTCACATTTGGTCTCTCATCCTCTACGTGAGGCACCTTCCAGCTCTTAATTGGTGTTCACCTGGTTCTCCCTTTACTATCCTCTCATCATCTTCCTATGGACTCATTCCACTTGGTCAATGTTCTTTCTAAAATGTAGTGACCAGCACTGAGCTCAATAGCCCTGGCTATGCTCTGACCAGGACACAGGGAAACGTGGCTTCCATTTCCCTTTGTCTGGACAGTCTCTATTGTCTACCGTATCACACCGTTGACTCATATTGTACTTGTGGGAAACTAAAATCCCAGAATCCCCAGTTTTGCACAAACTTGTCTCACCAGACCTACTCTCTGTGCTTTCCTTGTCAATCAGTCTGTCTGCTAGAACCTATACTATGTGCCAGGCACTGTGCTGAGTGCTGGGAGTACAAAGAAAGTCAAAAGACAGTCTCTGTTCTCAAGGAACTCATAGTCCAATGGAGACAAGACACAACCAGGTAAGAACGAACTATAGGCAGGATAAATTGTGGACAGTCTCATAAGGAAAGCACTAAAATTAAGGCAGACCAGGAAAGGCTTTTTGCAGAAGATTGGACTTTAGTTGGGAAGGAAGCCAAGGAAGGTGGGGATAAAGAGGGAGAGAGTTCCAGATAAGGGAGACAACCAGTGAAAACTACATGTATAGTAGTTTTTCTGAATTCTTGTAGGACTTTACATTCATCCCCATGAAATTTCATGCTGCACCTTTGGAAAGCGGAAAGCTCTGATCCATTTCCCAAGTTGATTCCTGTATCTTCATTCCTTATTTTTTCTGGAATGTCTGGTTCTTCCCCCTAAAAACATGCACAAAGTCTGTGTAAGTCAAGGAGAAGAGCAATGGTTTAGACATGATGTTGAGGCCAACACACATATTTCTGTATAAGAAGAAACACAATTACCGTCATATCTAGTCCCTGGTTGTCCATATAGTTCTCTGTTGGAGAAAGTGAAATAGATTCTTTCTCTTTTTTCTTCTCCATCTCTTGTTAGTTTTTTTCCAAGCTAAAAAATAAAAATACAAAACTAAAGATTGAGTTGAAAACCCATAATTTGGGGACAAACTTTTTCCCAGTTGGGGCCACTGACTCATCAAGTCAAGTCAACAAGCATATATTAAACCCATGCTATGTTCCAGGCACCTTGCTAAGCATTGGGGATCCAAAGACAGGCAAAAGAAAATCAGTTCCTGCCCTCAAGAAACTCATAGTCTATTGGGAGAGATAACATGCAAACTACAATGTACAAATAAGACATATACAGGATAAATCTGAGATAATCACACAGAGCTAAAGAGCTTAGCATTTATATAGCACTTTAAAGTTTGCAAAACACTTTACAAATTTCTCATATTATCCTCATAACAACCCTGAGAGGTAGGTACTATTATTATTCCAGTTTTACAAATGAAAAATCTGAGGCAAACTGAGGTTAAGTGACTTGCCAAGGGTCACACAGCTACCCGACGTCAGATATGAACTTAGGTCTTCATGACTCCACATCTAACACTCTATGCTCTAAGTCGCCTACCTGCCTAAAGAGGGAAGGAACTTGGAATAAAAATGGCTGGGAAAGGCTTCTTGTAGAAGGTGAAATATTAGATGGGACTTGAAGGCACTCAGAGAAGTCAGGAGATAGACATGAGGAGGCAGAAGATTCCATGCATGAGGGACAGCCAGTAAAAATGCCTGCAGGGGCAGCTAGGTGGCGCAGTGGATAGAGCACTGGCCCTGGATTCAGAAGGACCTGAAGTTCAAATCTGGACTCAGACATATAACACTCACTAGCTGTGTGACTGTGGGCAAGTCACTTAACCCCAATTGCCTCACAAGAAAAGAAAAGAAAAGAAAAGAAAAGAAAAGAAAAGAAAAGAAAAGAAAAGAAAAGAAAAGAAAAGAAAAGAAAAGAAAAGAAAAGAAAAGAAAAGAAAAGAAAAGAAAATGCCTGCAGTTGGGAGGTAAGTGTCTTGTTTAAACAGCAAGGACACCAGTGTCACTGGATCACAAAGTACATGGTGTGGAGGAGGTATGAGGTGTAAGAAGGCAAGAAAAGGTGTTGGGGAAAACAGCAGAGGCAGAGGAAGCTAGGGGACAGTGACTGAGAAAACTGAGCAAATGAAGACAGGGGATTTAAAGTATTAAAGGAACAAGGGGACTGAGATGGTTAAGGGAATGTGGAAAGAAAAATGCTAAGAGGACATACCAGTTTACTATCTATATGTTAAAGTCTATTATAGGTAACTACTTAAAGTAGCAGAAACAGGTATGCATGGTGAGCCAAGCAAATTGTGCATGGAGTATCAATTCTTGTACAACCATCTTTGTTCTATAACATTTCCCCCTTCAAGTATGAACTAAAGGGTGTGAAAGATATGAAGAGGTAAAAGTCAAAATTGGGAAGACTTTCAAGGTTGAAGCAGATATCCTCAGGACTGTAGTATAATATTGGCTGATTGTTAATTTCTGCTTAAGACTCTTTCCCACACAACAGCTATGGGTAGTCTCTCTTTGTCTCAGGGCTTAGAATCTAGTTACCCCTCCAAAAGCAACCAAGCCATCCTGACATATCTAAAGAAACCTTTGTGGTAAATCCGTGTGGGACACTACCCTAAAAAGATCCATGTCAATGTCCACCTTAGATTTATAAACCACTTCAGATTTTTAAAAATCCATGAATAGAGAACAAAACAAGGGTAGGTAATTTAGAAACCACTTTAGATTTTTAAAAGACATGAACAGACAGCAGAAGCAAGGACAGGTATCAGGAACACATTGCATAAAATGAGGTTCACCTGAACAGTAATAGAATTAACTGAATTTAGTCATTCTCCCTTAAGAGAACCCCAGAGATGATCAATTAGGCCTCTTGTTTACCTTGATGTGTTAGTTTCTGCTGGATGTCCCGGATACTCTTGGGAGAGTGCTTCTGAGGGAGTGAATATGAAGTGGAGTCAGAGGACCCAGCAGAAAAAAGGGGTGGGAACAGAATGTCATGTGGCTCTGGGGAGGAGGATCCCTCCAGGTAGGGGACTTGAGTGTGGGGGGACTTAAAGGGATGGAATCTGCACCTCTATCTCTGCTACTTAGTCCCTCTTACAGTAAAGTTAACCAAATCACTTTCATCTCTTTGGCCAGGTTCCTCATTTGTAAAATTAAGGGGCTGGCATAATTCCAGAGGACTGATTGAGGAAGCATACCACCCACCTGATGATCCATCCAAGATGCAGAATGAGACATACATTTTCAGACTCAGCCAATGTGGGCATTTGTCTTGGCTTGACTATTCTCATGGCTTCTGTTTTTCTTTCTTTTAATTGGGTGGGGAGGTGAGAAGGATATAAAATGAATGTTTGTTCATTAAAAAGAAAGAAGAATAAAAATAAAACTTACATAAAAAGGTACAATAAAATGAAACAAAATATCCCCAAGGGAACTACAACCAAAATGAGGGTATTGCCCCCAAGGGGCTCACAATGAAAAACAGGAGAACTGAGATTCAAGACAACTGAGTCTGGAGACACTAATGAAAAACCTTTAACTTACAGTTTTGTCCGGGTTGGTCCCGTCTACTCTGAATGGACAAACCAAGTATTTAACACCTATTTTTGGCCTTGCCTGGTGTCTTCAAGCTAGGTTTATGGTTAAGTTGGGTGCCTTGTCTGGCACTGTGGGATGTGCAGGGGGATATTAAATAAAATTAAACATAGTGACTGATCAAAGAAGCTTATAATCTCTTTGGAGAGACAATACAAACTCCTATGAGATACTTAAAAAAGAAAGCAATACTGCACAGATTTATGTCTAAAGGACTCGGGGACATTAGTGTTCGAAAAATTGCAATTGTAGGTGTTCAGAAAGAGGATATGTGAATGTGGGTAGGAGTAACTGCCTCTAGGCATGTCTACTTGGATGACAGGCTGTCACCTCAAAATGATTCTGTGCTCTTTCCTGACCTCACTCTCCTTCCTCTTTCGTTTTGATTATGCTCCCTTCTTTTTCTCTCCTTCCTGGCTCCCCTTTAAAAATATACATATATACATACCTTCTAATTCCTGCTCCAGAGCTGGGCTGAGAAAAAAATGTGCAGCCTGCCATCCAGTACAAGATGAATGATGCTAAATGGGTGTACCATCTCTGTCTTCGCATTCTCCTTTTCTTGCCCCAACTTCCCCTAAAAAGTTTATTATGAAAGATATTTTACTTTCCTTGAACACCCAAAAATGAAAAGAGAGAAAGTTATTGCAACCATTTCACTCAGATGGATTGGAAGCTCCCTTAAGAAACTGTTGGGTTCTGAAGGCAAACACCTTGGCAGAGATTGAGTCTCCAAGCAGGAGGAGGGACTGCTCTAAAAGTACTGGCTCCACCCTCCTAGGCATAGCACAACAAGACAACCAGACTCCAAATTTGGATTTCCTTTCTCAGGTCCTTCATCACCTTAGGAAGAAGCAGCCAGTACCTAGCCTTGCAATCCCTGGGCAAACACCCAAACCCCTCACTCCACTCCTCCCTCCTCCACCCCCTCTCCCCAGTAAAACCCTTATTCATTTCCTCTGCTTCCACTCCAGGGGGGAAAGTCCAAATGTTATTTCTCAGCTTTAAAATCTACTTGTGAATAAATGCTTCTCTTTCAAGTGCTTTCCGATGACACAGTATCAACAGATCATAGATTTAGAGCTGGGAGCCCAACAACCTGTTCATCTTACAAATGAGAAAACTGAAAGGAGTCTGCTAGTCTGTGTTAAATGGTCACATTTCAAAATGTTCATGGACTAAGATTAATTGTTGAATTGATTTGTGATGGTGAAAAAAGGTATCCTAGTTCTTTTGAAGGGTTTTCATTGACTATGTCATCCAGCCCTCACAATAATGATCCTTCAGGGTAGGTAGGGCAGGTCTTATTTTCCTGACATGGGAAAAGACTTGCTCAAAGTCATGCAGATAGTAAGAAACAGAGGCAAAAGGGGAACCTGGTATTTCTAACTCCTAGTCCAACAGACTTTCCATATACTACCTCTATGGCAAGTTAATGGGACTGTTGACCAGAGTTCTTAAGTCTGAATGACACTATAACCAGGCTGAGTATCAACTTAATTTATTACGAGAGAAAGCAAAGACATACATGAGAAGACGCCTCCACACAGAGTACAAAAGGGTCTAGGTCTGCAGGCAATGCCTGATATATTTAGGAGTTTTCAACTAAACTGAAAGATATAGGAGGAGGAGAAGGGTCAGCCCCTTCTGGGAACCACCAGAACATTGAAGCAGGATGTTCTTGTTCATCATGAGTTGGGGAGGGGGCATCTGCAAACCACAGGACTGGTTTCAGCCAGTTCTAGCTAGCTCTTCAGTGGGCTAGCTCAGCAGGTGCAGCCAAAGCAGGGTTCCAAAGTGAGGCAGGTGCAAAAGATCACTGGTATGTCAAGGCTAAGCAAGAGTCAGACTGGCTACTGACCAGTCCATTCTGTCTTGAGGCTCTCCATCCTCCTCTTCCTCCAGTCCTATGGAATAGCGTAACTCAAGGAACACATTATATTCACAAGGCAGAACTTGAGAGAGAGAGAGAAAAGTGAAAAAGAAAGTCAGCTATTTGAGTGGAAGGTCAAAGATACCAAATCAGAGAACCCAGATTGAAACCCTATTTCTGACACCACCTGTGGTTGACAAGCCACCCTACCTGGCCTCAGTCTTTTCACCTATAAAATGAGGTTGGACTAAATGACCTCTGAGCTCCCTTCCAGCTCAAGACCTGTGGTCTTAAGAAAAAGAAAGAGAAATAAGTTTTCTTGTCATGGAGATTGGACAGAATCTACCTGTTGCTAGAAGAATCAGTAAAGTCCCTAGGTCTGAGTGGGGTTTCAAGTCCAAGGAAAGACTTGAAAGCAGAATTTCCTCTTGGGTTCCCTCACCACATTCAGCATTGGATACAGTGGGACAGCCTGAACCCAGATTTAGATTTTCTTTCTTGGGTGTTCCTTCAGGTTATGCAGAAGTCTGACTTAGTAGGGAGCACCTGACCTGCTGCTGTTTGGATTTCCATGCAACTTTTGGCCAGATGACTCTGAATTCAATTGACTTCAACACCATGTATTAAGCATTGTAAAGGTGAACTCAAAAGTTTTTCAGGCTTTTTCTTACTATATCTCCATACTTATGAAAGGCCAGGAATCTGGCTAGGTAGGAAGGATAATGACTTTGCTCTCTGGACTTAGCTTCATGGTCTTTGCCTCATCTAAACTTATTTACATGGGAAATTTGAAAGGACTTGGAGAGGAAAAAAATTGGGAAACACCGAATCCTAGAACTACTTGGCTGTTATTGAGCATTCGAATAGTCCTTACATGGATAAAGATCAAATATAATCTAGTTATCAGATAATAAAATCTGAAAGTATCAGGAAATGCAGAAAAATGATAAAATATGGAAATAGTGCAATAGGGGCTATGGACAGAAAGGCACACATACACGGTTAGTGGAGCTGTGAATCAGTTTAGCCATTCTGGAAAGAAAACTGGAATTGAGCTTAAGCAAAAAGACTTAAAAAAAAGACTAAAATGTCCATACTCTTGACCTAAAGATTCTGAAACTAGTTACATATTGCAGGGAAGTCAGAGACAGAAAGAAAAGTTCCACATGCATAAGAATATTCATAGCAGCATTTCTGGTGTAGCAAAGAAATTCAAGCAAAGTAGATGCCCATCAATTGGGGAATAGCTAAAAAAATATGTTACATAAGTGTAAGGGAATATTACTGCACCTAAGAAATGAAATAGATGAAGAATTCAGGGAAGCATGGGATGACATGTGAACTCATGTAGAGTGCTGTAAGTAGAACCAAGAAAACAATATATTCAATAACTCTATAATAATAACTATTTATTCAATAATTCAATAACTTCAATATCATACTTTTTTTAAAAATCTAGGTTTACAAGATAAGGTCAAAATGGATACATAATTGAGACATAAAGGGTGATACAATAAGCAAATTAGGAGAGCAAGGAATAGTTTACCTGTCAGATCTATGGAGAAAGGAAGAATTTATGACCAAACAAGAGATAGAGAACATTATGAAATACAAAATGGATAATTTTTATTACATTAAATTAAGGTTTTACATAAACAAAACCAATGCAACCAAAATTCTAAGGAAAACAGAAAATCTGGAAACAATCTTTACAGCAAGTATCTCTGATAAAGGCCTTATTTCTCAAATACATAGAGAACTGTGTCAAATTTATAAGAATACAAGTCATTCCCAATTGATAAATGGTCAAACAGGCAGTTTTCAGATGAAGAAATTAAAGCTATCTATAGTCATATGAAAAAAATGCTCTAAATCACTACTGATTAGAGAAATGCAAATCAAAACAACTCTGAGGAACCATCTTACACCTATCAGATTGGCTAATATATCAGAAAAGGAAAATGATAAATGTTGGAGAAGATGTGGGAAAACTGGGACACTAATGTATTGTTGGTAGAGTTGTGAACTGATCCAACCATTTTGGAAATGGTGTTATGAAAAAGCCAATAAAATACATAAACCATGGGTTAATTTGATTTTTTTAAAAAAAGGAAAGAAGAAAACTAAATTACCAGTATCAAAAATTAAAAGGGTGAACGCACCACCGGAATGAAGACGAAATTAAAGCAATTATTAGGAGTTATTTTGCCCAATTATATGCCAACAAATCTAACAATCTAAATGAAATGGATGAAGATTTACAAAAATATAAATTGCCCAGATTAGCAGAAGAGGAAGTTGGATACTTGAATAACCCAATCTTAGAAAAAGAAATTGAACAAGCCATCAATAAGCTCCCTAAGAAAAAATTCCCAGGACCAGATGGATTCACAAGTGAATTCTACCAAATATTTAAAGAACAATTAATTCCAATACTATATAAATCATATAAATAATTTAATAAATAATTTAATGGAACAAATATGGCAGTGATACCTAAGCCAGAAAGAACAAAAACAGAGAAAGAAAACTGTAGACCAGTTTCCCTGATGAATATTGATGCAAAAATTTTAAATAAAATACTAGCAAGGAGATTACATCACTATGTCACAAAGATCACACACTATCATCAGGTGGGTTTTATAGCAGGAACGGAGGCTGATTCAGTATTGGGAAAACTTTCAGCACAATTAACTACATCAATAATGAAATAGACAGAAATCATATGATTATTTCAATGGATGCAGAAAACACTTCTCATAAAATACATCATCCATTCCTATTAAAAAACAGTAGAAAATATAGGAATAAAGAGAACTTTTCTTAAAATGAAAAGCAGTATCTATCAACAACCAGCTTATCCCCTGTAATGGGGATAAGCTAGAAGCCTTCCCAGTAAGATCAAAGGTGAAGCAAAGATGTCTATTATCACCACCATTCAATATTGTACTAGAAATGCTAGCTATAGCAATGAAAGAAAAAGAACAAATTGAAGGAATTAGAATAGGCAATGAGGAAACAAAATTATCGTTCTTTGCAGATGATATGATGGTATACTTAGAGACTCAACTAAAAAATAATCAAAGAAATTAACAACATTAGCAAAGCTGCAGGATATAAAACAAACCCACATAAATCACCAACATTTCTATATATTACCAATAAAGTTCAGCAGGAAGAAATAGAAAGAAAAATTGCTTTCAAAATAACTGTAGGAAAAACCTAGAAAGACCTGTATGGACTGATGCTAAGTGAAGTGAGCAGAACCAGGAGAACACTGTACACAGCAACAGCCATGTTATATGATGACTAACTTTGATAAACTTAGCTCTTCTCAGCAATGCAAGGATCTAAGACATCTCCAACAGTCTCATGATGGAAAATGCTATCCACATCCAGAGAAAGAACTATGGAGTTAGAATGCAGATTGAAGCATACTATTTGCTCTTTTTTCTTCTGTTTTGTTTTGTTTCTTTTTTCTTATGGTTCTTCCTATTGGTTCTAATTCTTCTTTACAACAAGACTAATGTGAAAATGTGTTTAATAGGAACACATATGTAGAGCCTATATCAGATTGCACACCATCTGGAGGAGGGAAGGGGAGAAAATTTAAAACTCAAAAGCTTATGGAAGTAATTGTTGAAAACTAAAAATAAATTAATTAAATTTAAAAATATAAAAAAGACCCTCTTCCTCCATAAAAAATAAAATAACTCTAGAAAAACATAAAATATATAAAAGCAGCAGCTAGGTCATGCAGTGGATAGAACACCGACCCTGGAGACAAGAGGACCTAAGTTCAAATACAGCCTCAGACATTAACTAACAGTGTGACCCTGGGCAAATCACTTAATCCCGATTGCCTTCAAAAAAAGAAAAGAATTGGAGACAACATAAAATACTTGGGAGTTGCCTATCGCACTGAGACATCAAGTGCTTTGCCCATGGTCCCAGTCAGAAGGAGGACTTAAATCAAAGTCTTCCTGTCTCTGAGGCTAGTTCCTTACCCACTACTCCATGGCTCCCTCTGACATAAAGGATATACATATTCATAAATTAGTACTAGCATATCTGAAAATCAGTGATGACTGAGAGAGACAGAGTTCCAAGCACAATAAGTTTATTAGCAAGGCTAATAATAAACAGGGTAGGGGCAGCTAGGTGAAGCAGTGGATAGAGCGCTGGCCCTGAAGTCAGGAGGACCTGAGTTCAAATCCAGCCTCAGACCAACCACTTGACACTTACTAGCTGTGTGACCCTGGGCAAGTCACTTAACTCCAACTGTCTAATAAATAAATAAATAAATGAAATGATAAACAGGGTCTCAGAAACCAAAGACCTCTATGGCAGAATACAGAGCATTCTTGTAGTCTAAAAAGAAAAACTAATCAAAATACATATTCATGAGATGAATACATATTCATGATATAATATATATTTTCACAGAATTTACAGAAATAGGGAAGTATGACAGGAATAGTGAAGTAGGTTTATTTGTAAGATTTATCTTGGGGCATTTCTAGTGGTCATCTTGACTATTGGTGACTAACCCTATTATTTCACATTGACAAGCATAAGAGAATAGGAAGCCTCCAAATAAGAAACTCAATTAGGAGAGAGTACTACTTTCCCATTTGGGCTGGGAGGTGGTCATAGTTCCTCTAATCTCAAGGCAATAAAATTGACATTAAATGCAAGAGGGAGTTTCTGCTTATACTATAGAATAGAAATTAATTAAATGGGGGCCTTGTCAAATGCCCAGTTCCCAATTCATAGTACAGGGGTAGCTAGGTGGCACAGTGGATAAAGCATGGACCCTGGAGTCAGGAGGACCTGAGTTCAAATCTGGCCTCAGACCAAACATTTGACACTTACTAGCTGTGTGACCTTGAGCAAGTCACTTAACCTCAATTGCCTAAAAAAATCTTTTTTGAAAGTATGCAATTCACAATACCCACTGATGTATTACTACAGATTTATTTGTTATGGTATAAATAGGATGGACAATGTGGATCAGTAAGGTTAACAAGTACCACTAGTTGCCCTAAAAAAAAGCCATATCCTTTCTCCCACTCTGAGGCCGTCTACTTTGGTTTTTCATGATGCTGTTTTCAGAGCTAATTCTGGAGGCCTGTCAATTTTTGGTACTTCCAAGATGGTATGATCTAAGATGTGTGGTCATCAAAAAAGTCACTTCATTCCTGTGGTCTCAGCTCTAAAATGAGAGGGTTACATCTCTAAGATCTCTTCCAGCTCTGACATTTTACACCTCTATGATGCTTATATTTGTCTGTAAATAAGAAAGAATGGGAGGAAAGAATTGCCTCTTGGGTCAGAGGGAAGAGAGAAGATGTATCATTTAAATGGATCCTCTTCAAAGTTTAATCCCAAAGTGCTACTATAATAATAATTAAGCACTGTTTTGATTATTAACAGCTAACATTTACATAGCACTTTAAGGTTTGGAAAGCACATCATATATGTTAATTCATTTATCTTTTTTCACACGTAATATAATGTATCTCAACCT